ATGCATGCGTGTGTTGTGTGTGTGTGTGTGTGTGGAGCGCGGAGCTATTAAAGGTGGTGTGGTCCCCACCATTTTGCTCGGCGGCGTGTCGTCCGCGTCGTCGTCGACGTCGTCGTCGGTAGTGTCGGTGCGGTCGGCCGGTCGGATGTTCCGCTTAAAGCCGATGTACGATAATTAGCGGCGCGGCGCACGCGAACCGCACACGCGCCGACCGGCAGTGCAGCTTTAAGGCGCTCGCCGCGCGCACGCCCGATTCGGCTCGGCCCGCTGCTGGCTGCTGCTGCTGCAAGCAAGCAAGCAAGCAAGGCTCTCCTGCTGGCGATGTCTGGCCCGTAGACACGGCGCAGACCTGGATGTGTCTGTGGACTTGCGCAACAGGAACGTGAACTCTGTTGCTGTCCACTTTTTTGCAATCTTTTTCGTTTTTTTTTTCGCTCCTACTTTCGTTTCTGTTCATTTGTGTTGATACATAAATAATTGTGATAGCAGAACCGGCTGTGGAAGTTGTAGTGTAGGATGTAGGACAATACGTTACGCGCTCTACATTTGAGTGGCTTTGGCCACGATTCCACCGAAGACGAAGCAGAAGAAGCGGCGCAAAGCAACACAACGAAAACGAAAACAAATAACTACATAACACCAATAGCACAAAAGAAAATAACAAGCTGTCGGCGTAATATTACTTTTACTTCTTTTCATCGCAAGTATATAGTATCACAACCAACACAAGAAGTACATATATATGAGTGGCATTGCAGGAATCAAAAGTATGCCAAGTATCTCAATCATTTCAATGAACTTCACGAATATTACTGCCTTTTGATGAAGTATTTGCATATTCGTACACGCATTTTGTTTCTTTGACTTGTCCTTGTTTCCGACTCCTGCTATTTCCTCAAGTAAAGTCAAAGTAAAGTAAACAGGTGATTCTATGTATTTTATGCCTTGACAAATATAATTGCTTCTAGTCTTTCTACTGAGATAATAATGATAACAGCAATAATGACAAGACAACATTGCATAGTTGGTATTCTGTTGAATTCGTTGGATATCTCTCATATAAACTGATATGTAAACATTTTTTACTTGCTTGTAATTTTGTTTTTTGTTTGTTTCTATGGCTTAAAATGGCTATAGTGGCTTGTAAGCTGGTAATGTGTAATCAAGAAGCTTCAGCGGTCTGGGAAGCAACGACGCCATATGTGAAATTGACATATTCATGCGTAGACGATGAGAAACCGACAAGCGCGCAATTGCTGAACCGCGCTGAAGGAAAAATTACAAAAATAATTGCAAGCAGCGCGTAACGGTTTCGGTTTCCGTTTGTATCGCATTGCATTTATCACGTTTTCATCCTGCCATTTGGTCATAACCTTTAAAAAATGCATTAAAAAAACATTGGGCTATAAAACATTTCCTTTTCGCATTTTTATTTATTTTTAGTTTTTATTCTGTTAGCACAATGTTTTTCCAGGGTGGTATTATCATCCAAAACCTCAATTATTGTTAGATACGTTATTTATTTTTATTTTCATTCTTGATATTTATTAATTTGTTGTTACTTGTAACGGCTTATTACTCCCGACACATTCAATTAAACTTATTAGCAGTTATTTTCATGTCTGCAATATCAGTACCTACACTTGACTTAAGTAAAGTCAAGTTGTAACGGCACTGGTTTCCTCTATGTGATAGTACCTAGAATAAGATAGGTGTATGCCTCATTCCTGATGTTGCTTGTGCTGTGTTTATGTTCGCACCGGGTGTGATTAGGGCCAACGATGATGATGTCGAGACGGTGGCGTTGCCAACGGTCAAACGGAAGTCCACTTATGTACGCTCGCGATAAATGCGTGTGCACTTGGCGCGCCGGCGCGGCACTCAAGAGACGGAACGGTTCGTCTATTTGCATCTGCGTCAAAGTGCAGTTAAACGGTTCTGCGCTTAAGTACAGTCTGGAACCTGGAACTAGCGGTAGCTTGCTAGTGGCCTGGTGTGCAGACAACTTCTTGAGAATTAATTTCTTTAAACAGACCTGGCACCAGGCCACACTGGATTTGATGATGATTGCAGTCTGTAGCATCTTGATACTTAACCCTTTTGGTTGGTAAATTATTGCCCGCGGATAAGGTTTGATCAAAACTTTGAGTTTCTCGAAAGGGTCATCGTGGTTTTTGTTTAGTATAATCATTGTTTTGGGCTTATGTTTTAAAGATGAGTGAAATTAGTTTTTACGGCCCGGAGAGGTGCTTTTTTCTTCTTGGAAGCCACTGCGTGGACATTGTAAGCATGTAGGTTGGACTTAACTTTAACTCCATGGCTGCCTTAAGAGATGTAAAGATGCTATTTGAGAACAGAGTCGAGAAATGTTCTCACGATGCTGCGCGTACGTATTTTTTCGGTAATGGTACTTACACACTCTCTACGTCGGTGAGTTACCTCATCAGAAAAATTTATGAAATAATAACCAGTCCACGACCCGGCAATATACCCGGTGATATATTGCTCTAGAGCTCAAAGCGCGCGTACACACCATCAACATTCCTTGAAATTCTTATAGTTAAGGTGTTGTTTGCGCATACAATTTCTTTTGTTTCGTTTTGTGGTATGTGTGTGAATCTGCATGTGAACTTGTAAAAGATCAGCCTGCGAGCTTGGGGCCAGCCGTGAACTGATGAACTTTGCACTCGGCGAAAACACAACAGTGCAAAAAGTCGAAGAGACCGGACGACCTTCGATCGACGGAATCTCTCGGCGAGCATGTTGTGCGGTGCATGCATGCGGGCGAACTTGGACAGGCATGCAGCGAGGGCGGAGAACAGTGTTCGCGTGAGGAGATGATTTCTTCAAATCTTCACCTCTTCTCACATCAGTTGGTGATGTAGGTGCGAGCAGAGCAAGGAAATTTGGGTCTGCTTATGAATTTTGCACGAAACTTTGCTTTCTTTGCCCTCTCAGCAGAAACTAACTTGCGTTAATGGAATATAAACAAAACCGGCTAAGACAGTAAAACAACCGAACCACCTGAGGCACTGACTTTCGGCGGATGGGCTCATAATGTGAACTCACTTGACCTCCTCCTTCTCTTGCTTCCAGTGCACCTCTGTGGAATATGGCGAGAAAGATATTTTAACTTGTTGATTTTGACATCCTGTAGCGCGTTGTAGTCTTGATTGAAAGGACTAGTCAGACCCTGTCGGCAGTAAGTGCTTTCCTCGCTGCTGTACTTTATTGTCCTGCGCTCGGGCCTCCGCTTGCGCTCTGTTAGTATTGGTATTTATTGTCTGGTGTGTGACTGTCGCGCTGTCGGTTTTTACTCACACACGGTATACACGCAGTTACGCGTTTCAATGACTTTTACTGACTGACCGACCGCACACATGCACACACACACACACATACCATGTTCTGCGCTCGGTTCAGCCATGACCACATACTTCCTCCGTGCGTGTGACCCTGTCCTGCTGCTCGCGTGCGAGCTGTGTGAGTGAGTTGGACTGCATCTTTTTCAAGGCTAAGTTTGTTTATGTAGCACGCTGCGCATGGTTATGCATTGTATCTCGGAATCTTGGGCATCTACCTATGTGTGCCCACTCTACCTGCCTCGACAAGACGGACTCGCAGCTCGCAGTTGAAGTTGAACACTTTGAACGCTTGACCATCGGACGAGAGAATGTGCTCTGGCCTGACTTGAGTTTGTTTGCTCGCTTTGGTTGTGTTTTAATTCTTATGATTGTGCGGCTGGGATTCTCGGATGCAGTTCTCTGAACCAGATCTGAATCATTGAGTCACTGAACATCACATCCACATTATGAATGTGACAGGAAATTATTAGCGTTTCCGTTTGATTAAATAAGAATACGTGACAAGATTCTCAACTATATATATATATACCTATATCTGGTTTTTGGTCTCCAAATTTTGATTTAATTTTTAATATAAAAGTAGATACGAAATTATCTAGAGGAGACCTGTGTGTAGGTGGGTAAATCACAATAATTGTTTGCGAATGCGTAATAAAAGATTAGATAATAGAATCGGATAGGAAAGAAAGCGTAGCTCGTAGAATTTCGAAATCGAAAAGGAGGGATATCCCGAATGTGCGAATGAATGATGGTCCTTCAATGGGGGCAGCAAATGGGCGTCGGAGCGTGTAAACGACTTGTGTCTGGGCGAATGACCGCCGAACCAAAAACAATTTGTCTGCAACCGCGCGCGCGCCGTATTACCTATTCTACATCCTGAAGGTTTTTATTTTTGTTTTCGTCTAAACTTGCAAACATTTTTATAGGAATAAATCATTTGAGGTCGCACATTAGTTGATTAAATATTAATTTAAGTATATCCAGTATAAACAGCAGATAATTCAAATCAATAATTACTCAAGTTAAGCAACTCGCAAAAGGCAAGTTTCCTCTAGTGTGACTAGTATTTATTTTTGTTTGCGGTGTACTTCAGACTGTTAATTAATCATCAAAGCGATTAAATTGACTTGTGCGTTGGCAAAATAGGTCGTGTAAACCTGGAGGCACCTTCGCAACCCACTTTTTGACGACACACTACAAGTGTTCAAACACTTGGATGTGTGTTTTTTGGCTATAAATACATTCGTTAATTACTGATAATGATAAAGTCACAATTTACATTTCTAGAAATTTCGATAAACCAAATAATGTGACGCTCTCGAAATTTCCACATTACTAAGATTGCAAACAATGCGCAAGTGTGGATTTTGGGCGAAAAGAAATTGAAACGATTATTGCCATTGCCTTGTGTTTAATCAGACACGCCAATGTTGGTCGACCAAACTCGAAATCAGACCATAACGTGATATCATCACCTACATTCACGGCTACAACTCGAATCGTTGCAACTAGCCGATAGTGATTATTATTTATTATAGAAACGGCAGCCAGTTTCAAAATGGGCATAATGCCTTGTTTACCTTGAAGTCCAAAGTATGCCGTTTTGATTGTAATGTCTTTATTTAATTGTTTCAGGCTTCCATTTGAGCGGCGTTGTCACGGGCAGTCGGCTGTCACAGCCTCCGACGCTACCATGCGGCAACGTCGTCGGTGGCAGTCCAGAGCCACCGCAAAAGTTCAAAGTTTCAGTCAGTTTCGACAGGTATGATATACAATCCATTTTAGGTTTATGAATTTCTTAATATTCTAATTGCGATTGTTTGCAGATGCAAGATTACTTCGGTGACATGCAGCTGCGAGACAAAGGATATTTTTTGGTGCCAACACGTTGTCGCGTTGTCCTTGTATCGGATACGGAATGCGGAAAGCGTGCGTCTGCGAGTGCCCATTTCAGGTGAGTTTCAAAATCCGCACCGATTTAGGAAAATATTATAAATTAGCAATCATTATTTTCGCCCTTGATCTTTCTAACAAATGCAAAAAGTAGCGCGAATTATGCATGCAAGTTCACTTTAAGTAGTAGTTTAAACATTTATTACTACCTTGTATTGTACCAGTATTTATTCAGCTCTGGATGAATACGAATGCAGTAAATGCAAATGGCGAATCAGAAAAGTCGCGAATCCTTGAAGTTGAACATAATATCTTGAGGGTATTCAATTGTTATTTGCTGATGTTGACGGCAATTAAAGTTGAGTAATTAATCACAAAAATATATAACCACGCTGGCCTCGTCCAGCGAGATAATTAAGTTTTTATCTGCCTTCTACCTTTGTCCAGAGAAGGCTCTCTGGCACTCTGGCTGCGGCGGTGTCTCGTTATAGTTTGCGGATTTTTATGGTGATCGTGTCGTAAATGTTGGCGAAATTTGCAATTTACGACAATGCCTCCTACAATGGCATGGATTAAAACGATTGCAAGTATCATTTAATTAATTATTTATTATTTACTCGACGTAGGTACTTGTGCGCTTGTTGACTTGAAAAGTATTGCAAAATTTAAGCACTGTGCAATGTATACAAACATCATAAATTTATAAATTAATCACAGTAACTTGAGAAAAACAGCGACGAGTTCATTTACCTTACGTGAATGTGGAAATTTGAAATTAGGATCGGAGACATCTTGCTGTTAGTGGCAACAAATTTGGCTTGTTTGCAATTTGCAGGCAATTGGTAAGCAAGAGCCATTGTGTGGTCATTGTATTCGCTATTCACTGCGATGATTCCAGTTTATTCCGAGCTCTCTCGGCGCGAGGAGCTTTATTCGGTCGCGTGCTTTCCGCTGTCCTTTCTAAGGTCGAATCGCCGCGTCTGGCGGCGGAGTCTGGACGCTCGCAACGCCGTCCTCGTTGAGTGCCACATGAATTATGGTCTAGTCTTCTTTTTATACCTTTATTCCACCTTCCACACATACACATACCTACAATTTAATAGCATATCTAAGTAAACTTAAATCGAATATTTTGAAAATTTTACGTCTCCTCTATATTTCTTCAGTTTACTACTTCTAGTTTTTTCAAAATTCATATGCTACAAAATAGAATAGATGGAACGTGTGCAGAGTGCAAAAGTGACGAACCTTTCCAACATTTTCCTCTTCCATCCTCGTGCGCACACAGCTTCTCGTTGGGTTTGTGTGTGTGTGTTTTCAATGTGCACGTGCAACACACCAGGCGATATGCGGCTATAGACACCCTACCACCTGCACACACTTGTTAGACCTGGTTGAGCCTGACCCGATACGGCTTTCGAGGGGGTTGAAACGTAGTGTGGGGTGTAGCGATGGTGCAGCATGTCTGTCTGCGCTTCGCTTTGGCCCAACATGTGCTTCTATTTTTTTCTGTTTACTGTCCTATATATTCAATATTTTGAAGTTATTAATAGAACCATCAGAAAATTACTATTTACGGCTTTGTTTTTTTCTCTGAAATGATGTCTTCTCTTGATTACTGCGTACGTGATCTATATTTAAAATAATAGTTGTGGCCTATAATGGCAAATGAAACTCGTTTACCCTTTTGATTTTTTGTTGTTGCGTGCCGTGCAGCTTGGTTTTTGTAAGTGTAGTGTTTGTCGTTGCTGGATGCTGGAGAGAAAAAATATTCGATTAACCTTAATGACACGTTGCGCGTTTTTCTCCGGCGACTCGCCGGTGCCGATGCGGCCATGTTAATGCGTAGGGTGTGGTAGAATTCGGCCCTATGCGCGCAGGGCCAAAACGAATCGCGCTCCACGTGAGGATCACGATTTATTAGTCGATATATGTTGCTGTCCGAAAACCAGCCGCCGAACAATTCTCAGAGAACGAAAGTCATCATCGAGTCATACCTCAAGAATTTCTTTCTACGTGCAACTGTTTCAACTCGGGAATTTGGAAGGCGTAATTTTAAGCTTTGGCAGATGAAAAATAAATAATGAAATGGCACGGAATATAGAATTGAAAGCAGAAAATACGTCAGAGTATTGTTATTAGATTCGTATTTTCAGGTAGGTAGGTAGAAAAACCGATTTTGGGCGCTCTGACATCCAAAAGGTGCTCTTTTGGAACTTGACAGAGGTTCTAATTCTGAAAACGAAAAAAAAAAACACCCTAGGTGGACTTTCCTACTATGATGCATTTTTACAAAAATACATTTTTATTATAAAAGCATCTCTTTATCAAAGCGTCGAAACACCCGGTATATTTAGACAAGGGCTGCTAATTTTCCATGTTTACCTGCGAGGCCACATCCATTCCATTTCATGCCATTATTAACTCTTTGGGTGGGGCGGACTATCTCGATGTCTTTTATCTTTGCTCGAAAATAAAACTTCGGCGGCCATTTTCCATCCAGCCGCATAAGTTTAGTTATTATGCGTCTCGTTTCGGTTATTTAATTTGGTACAACCACTTTCAAACTCATGCACCCAGCACAGCGCGCACGGTCCAATTAAACTAACGACCAGTTCGGAACTAAATAATGAATGGCCGAGCGCGGCATAATTTATTATATATATGGAAATTTTTCATTCCGTTTCCAATTTTAGCGGCCGGCCACCCCGCGAAACGGCGCATTACGTAATTAAACTCATGCGGGGTCTCCCGAAATTGCAGCCGCCTCATTGTCTATTATAATTTATCGTGTTGCAATTATATATTTAGCTCGTTTTACGACCTGGAAAAGAATATCAACATGATGATCACATTCGAGTATACATATGCATAGAAATAATTGCAATGATTTGATTGCAACTTGGAGATAGCGCAATAAAATCTATAGATTTTATTTTGTTCGTTGCCCACTTGTTCGCCTGGAGAGCTGAAAATTAATTATCCAGTACCTCGCCTTAATTTGTATATAGGTAACATATTCACATTGCGCTGGTTTAATGTTTTATTGCGTCGCATTGTAGGTGTTCATGATGTAGGAAATGTTTTTTTTTTTCCCGCTGGAGCTATTCGTGATTTATGTTTTTGTCTGTATATACAGTTGATTTAAATATTTTAAAATAGCGGATCCAGCTTTGTTAACGTTAAAATCGTGAATTTACTGTATAGTTGGTCGTTTTCTCTGCGGTAATCTTGCGTGATTTGCAAGTTTTCGATTATATTGCTCTTGCGGTGTGATGCAATTGGTTAAAAAAATTTGTACTCGATAATAACCACACCTATTAAGTCCCCGTTCTGGCCCGGCCTGTGCGCCCCCAAGCTGTAACGATTTCATATTACGGAACGAGCGGGCCAGGCGCAGGAGCACCTCAAACAACTCCTTCATAACCTCTACACATTGACCTTAAAGTTTGTATTTTTTGTAAGATACTTTTGTTTGCAACTCTTAATTAAGAAATTATTTTCAATATATTTGGTGATTAAAATGATGATACTAGTTGAAGATATGCGAGATGGATGCGGATGTATGCGAAATGTGTACGCAACGTGCAACGCGAGAGGGGTGGCTATCGATCGAATCGGCCGGTTGCTGGCGCTCGCTCTTCCGCCGCCTGTGTGCCGCTGCCACTGCCGCCTCCACCGGCGGGCGCGTGTTCTTCTGTTTCCATGCGATGTGTTTTTCTGTTGTTTTTCGGCGTCGCGCCGCATACACTTCTACCACCACCACCAGCAGCGACGTGCGTCTGTCGTCTGTCCGCTGTCGTTTTCACCGATTTTCCGCCGCCAGCCGCCAATGCCCGCAACGCGTGCGTCTCTACACCGCACATCAGCTCGTCGTTCCTGTCCCTGTTTCGCGCTGTGTGGATGTGCGGATTTGCGCCGGCGCGCAGCACTCGAGAAGCACACATCCGCTTTAATGCGCCTGCTATGCCGGGGCGAATTAAAGCCACTTAAAGCTTGCGTCGTGTGCATCACGACACGCATTCCCTTCTACAGGCTCAACAGCAGGTCCTCGAATTCACCAAGCTCCAACCAGTCGAGCCCGTCTCCTATCGATACTTGTATTCAGCTTGTGTTCACGTCTGTATATGTCTCTGTAAATTCGTACAGACAGGCTGCTGGGCCTGTTCCCGATCGTAAAACCAAATATTGCTTCCTTTATTGTACGTTTTAAATTCGCAAACATACAAAAAAAAAACGTTCACGAGTGCGCCCGTCCTACTCATCGAGTCGAAAATACAAAATGGCCGCCATGTCTTTATGGCCTACTCGATTACGAGTGGCCACTTATCAGCTCTCATCTCCAGCGGGTTCTTTTTCTGTCGATTTGTTATTCTGTATGCTGTACTCACATACGCGGCAGTCATACCTACATTAACGATTCCGTCTGGAATGGTGCAGTATTTGAATAGCGCCATGTTTATCTGCTGCCGAAGGGTGCATTGTGAGCTGTGCACGGAGTTCATCAAAGTCCGCGCGTCCGCATAATTTATAAGCAATAATAAGGTGAGCCTGCATTGAAAATAAAGGGTGGCGCACTGGATCAGATCGAAGACAGAGGGCACATGCTCCGCATTCTGGGTGTTATTCAGCGCGCGCCGGCTCGGCCTCTCCTCTCTATTCATATTCAGAGTTCGTGCTCGAGCGGCAGTGTGCATTTGTCATTTAAATAAATTAGCTTCAAAAAGTATGCTAATTTTCGGCGAGCATACGTATAATGATGAGCCGGCACGCATACCGACTGTTGCGAAACTCGTCCAACTTGGTTCCTCATTCAATATCGTCATTGTAGATCTTCATTGTTTAATCTTGGTAGTTTTCATGTGTTTAACCAAACAATTTGGCGTGCTAGAGTTGAGTAGTCCTCCTTGGATGATGTGTTGGTTGCCTGCTTCTGGGAATTCGCTGAGGAGCGTTGGCATGTAGGGTGGGTTGCCTACATGCATAAATTCATCGCATGCAAGCAGGAGCGTTTTGTTCGCGACTTGCTCGGCGTGCTGATGATGGCCGTCGACGAATTCGAATTTGCATTGCAGATAGCTCTGGTACGGCTGGAAGTTTCAGCCATCCGGCCTTCTGCACGGCTTCAACGGGCTTCAAAAGCGTCGTCATCGCGCTCTGGCTGGCTGGCTGCGCGCGATTCTCTTTCATCTCTCGGTCGCCTCGCGTGGCCCCGGTTCGAGCCTGCCCGGCTGGTTATTATTGTGCATTCAGCTTTTTGCATGCCCCGTTCGTTTGTTCTTCGCGTGATACGTGAACGAATCGCACGAAATGCGCACCAAGTTTGCTCCGCAGCCCAACCCCGTGGAGTGTTTGCACAGGCAAAGACTCGCGGATTTTTCATTGATTTCCAGCCAAGTTTTCGCTTCGATGCGGACGCCTTCGAGTTATGCAACGTACTTTGCACACACACACACACACACTCACTATAGGATTATTTGTATTAGGAATTCATTTAGTTTTCTGAAAAATTGATTTTCTTCGTGTTTGGTTTTATTGCGAAAAGTTGGCAAAGCAAATTGCAGCGAAATATTTGTATGTTTGTCCCTCCGGCTGGGCACAAGTTGAAAATTAAAAATTTAATACACATTCCGTGTACTCGTTCTCGTACGTCGTTGTTCCGCCCGAAGAGTTGTTATTGGTCCACTCTGGTGCATGTCGTCGTCGGGGTACATGTTTGATGGAGCGCCCGCAGGATTGAAACGTGTTATTATTTATTAAAGCGGACCTTTCCTTTGCCGGCGGCGAACGAGCACATCGGTTTTAAGCGGGCGCTCGGGTCGCGCGCTCTACCCGCCTGCTACGGCGGCGGCGATTGCGCGCCGCCCCCGCAACCAACCGAACACGCATAAACACCGACTCTCGACAACACTCTCGCTCGACCCGGACGATCGACGCCGGATTTTTTTTTTCTATCACCTGTGGCAATTTACACGCCTACAAAACCAATATGATCAAAATGCACAACGTGAACTGCGTGAATGGCGTGAAAACCAATAATGCAACTGAAAACTATCTCTGCTGTTTTTTTTTTGTTTGCTAGCGTTGTATTTTAATTCAGGGATTTTTTTTTTGTCACACAGAAACCCTCCTGCAGATGGACAGACAACAGCTACAGAAATTCGTTCAGTACCTGATCTCAGAGCATCACACCGAAGTGTTGCCGACCGCGCAGAAGCTGGCCGACGAGATACTACAGCAACGCAGCGAAATCAATCAGATTCCGGGGGCGCCCGATCCGACGGCGGGCGCCTCCGCCGACGACGACCACACATGGCACCTCGACGAGGAGCAGGTTTGCGAGCAGGTCAAATCCTATCTCTCGCAGGGCGCTTACTACAACGCCAATAAACAATTAAATTCGTTGTTTTCCAAGGCAAGTGTCTCATTGAAAGAAAAAAAAAATATATATTAATTTTTTTTTCTTTAATTTCTTCTAGGTCAGAGAAATGCTGCGGGCGCAGGATTCAAACGGCGCGCGCATGTTGACGCTTATCACGGAACAGTTCCTATCCGATCCCAGGCTGCAGCTGTGGCGCATTCAAGGCCAGGCTATGACTGATAAGTGCCGTCAATTGTGGGATCAACTCGGTAAATATGAGTCCAGCAAACCTCATTCACCTCGAACACTGCGTTTCGAATAAACACAGACGCGACTTGACCCGAATGAATATGAAAACATATTTGCACGAAGCGCGATAAAGTTTGACGAACCTGAACAGTTATTTTACACACATTTGTCCACTGATTTACTAAATACATGTTTGTCTTCCGGTTTAGGCTCGTTGTGGGTGTGCATAGTATTAAATCCGAATTGTACAAATCATGAGAAGCACCAATGGAAGCAACTCCTAGAGAAATGGACGCATATTGATGTATGCCCACCGGAGGATCCCGATTTTCGGTTGCATCAGACGAATCAACGTGATTCGGTAATTTTTTAAATCTAGAATATTATATTTTCAAATTTTATCCCCATTCATTATTAAATTTTAACAATTTCAATTAAAATTTCAGTATGCGAATCGAGATCGCGATAGAGATAGGCATTACCACGACAGGGACCGCGAAAGGGATCGGTATGCGGATAGAGAGCGGGATCGTCGGGAGAGAAGAGACAGGGATCGAGAAAGGGAACGCGATAGGGATCGCGGAAGGCCGGTCTATGACTCTTCGAGCAGCTCTGATGACGATGAGGCCAGCTATCTCTACAGTAGGAACAATAACAAGCGATTACGTTTATCAGGGAATCATTCTAAGTCAGCACCAGCTTTACCTAGGACAGTATTTCATAGGTAAGTTATTAGTCAATGGAGTTTTCTTTTTAATTACATGGCGCTTGATTTGCAATTTTCTTTCCGATTTACAGGGCTTTAGATGCGGTCTCAATGTCATGGGACAATATGCACTTGAAGAACATATTATCTAGCGACGTTTATTGCTCACACGTGCCGGACAACTCCACTTCCGGCACATTTAATTCTCAAGGACAACCTTTATGGAATGGTAAGTCAAAAATATTCAGTTTTTAAACCGAGTTAATCAATTTGTGTTGTGTCTTTAGAACCTATACCTTTGTGTGCCGCAAGAGTCGATTCTCTCCGCTCCCATGGTCATATGGAAGCCGCCCTTCGGTTAGCAGTATCTGTGGTGCGTACCATGAAGCAACAGCAGTTGCTCGCCCAGAAAAAATGGAACGAAAGCCAGCAAGCTGCGTGCAGCAGTAGTTCGTCGGCGGCGAGTACCAGTAAAGCGAATAAACCGTGCACGTCAAGATGTGCTGGCCAGTGTATTGCGGGTGCTTCCTCCTCGTCGACGACGTCTACTAGTGCACCTGCAAATACCGACGGTTGGGTGGGTCATCCGCTTGATCCCATTGGCACCCTCTTCGATACACTCGCAGACGCATCGATTGTTCCTGAAGACCAGCGACCCCGCACGCCCAGCTACCTAGATCTGGTCGGGATGGAAGACCAGCACAACATTCGGCCGCGTTATCATCACGTTCCTGTCGTGGGATCGCGCGACCGCTCCGAAACGTATCTTACGTTAGCCTTCGAAGTTGCCTTGATTGGACTGGGCCAGCAGCGCATCATGCCGGTCGGCCTTTATGCTCAGGTAAGATTTTATTCAATTTTAAAGATGATCACACAATAATAAAGCACGCCGATTAATTTAATCGGATTATATGCAAAGGTTCTTATCGTGGAACATGGCCACTTGAGCGCCTACAATAACAATGTTGCGTTTTTACCCTACAGGAGAAGGCGTGCAAACAGGAAGACCGTCTCATTGCAAAGCTGCAGGAGATCGAAGGCGATAATAATCTGGTAGCGGTGTTGCGGCGACAGGCGATTATCTTGCTGGAGGGCGGGCCTGCGAGCGGTCTGGGAATCGGTATCCACCCGGAAAGCATTCCGATGCACACGTTTGCCCGCTTCATGTTCCAATCGCTGCTCATCTACGATCCGGATCTTGCCTACGACGTGGGTCTGCGCGCGATGCGTCTACCTCTTCTTGAAGAACATGAGGATTCCGATGATCCTATGGGTGGAAATGCCTCCAGCTCATTGATGATGAGTCGCTCACCTCGGTGGTTCACCCTTGGGCACATCGAAACTCAGCAATGCACTCTGAGCAGCACAATGCTATCAGCTGCCAAGGGTAAGATTAGCTAATTTATACACAACTCCTCTTATCATCTACATGTACTTGATTGTCTTTTCAGGTGAAGTAATGCGCTTGCGCACAGTACTTGAGTCTTCCCAGCGTCATATTCATTCTTCGTCGCATTTATTTAAGCTGGCGCAGGATGCGTTTCGCTTCGCGACACCTGAGAACGGTCCGCGACATCCGACGTTGCTTAGCGTCGCTTTTGAATTAGGTCTGCAGGTGATGCGCATGACGCTATCGTCCCTGAATTGGCGGAGGCGCGAGATGGTGCGGTGGTTGGTCACGTGCGCTACTGAAGTAGGTGTGGAGGCATTGATCACCATCATGCAAAACTGGTATCAGTTCTTTACGCCAACGGAGGCCACAGGTCCGGTGGCGACCACTGTCATGTCGCCAAGCACTCTTATGCGGCTCAATTTGGCGTTTGTGCAGCAGGACGAACTTTCAAGTTGCGCGAGGACGCTTGCTTTACAATGTGCTACAAAGGTATTTTAAAACGACGTCAATATATATTTCTTTGACTATATTTTTTTTTCCAAAGGACCCTCCGAACTGTGCCTTGAACGCGCTCACACTGTGCGAAAATGAACCGCTGGCGTTCGAGACGGCGTATCAGATCGTCGTGGAGGCGGCATCGCATATCATGACTTCCTCGCAGCTCTTCACCATCGCCAGATACATGGAGCACCGTGGGTATCCCACGAGGGCTTACAAGCTTGCTGTACTCGCGATGAAAAATGTGCATTTAGCATACAATCAAGTAAGTGGAATTTACCCTACATTGTTCAATCAAACTTATATTTTTATTTATGCGTATCAGGATACTCATCCAGCAATAAACGACATTCATTGGGCGTGCGCGCTTAGTCACTCCCTTGGGAAGTCGGAACTGACCAATATGATCCCGCTTCTAGTTAAGAACGTGCAGTGCGCGACTGTATTGTCGGACATATTGCGGCGTTGCAGTATGACCGCACCCGGCATATCCTGTCCACATCCGACTACATTGGATGGTGGTAAGCACATTACAATGCCGCAGCACCGTTCTTCACGAGGCTGCACGGCGGGTATCAAACCATTGTCGTACGATAGACCACCATTGAGGCAGTTACTGGAGGCAGCCGTCGCCGCGTATATTAACACTACGCATTCACGTCTTACGCACATCTCGCCGCGTCACTACGGTGATTTCATCGACTTCCTTACGAAGGCACGTGACACATTTGTGCTTGCACAAGATGGCGTCGCACAATTCAGTCAGCTCATCGAGAATATGAAGGTCGCCTATAAGGGCAAAAAGAAGCTGATGTTCTTGGTGAAGGAGCGCTTTGGCTGATACGCGGCGGGCGCGCCCTGCGACTCACGAAGCTTCGGTAAGCCACGGACAATATACAGTATGAAATTTTAGACGATAATCTTCCACAAAACACAAAATGGCGGCGGAGACAAAATCGAAACGCAGATTTGCAGACGCACTTAAATTTAAAGCATTATTTAATCGTTACATTATATTGTTTGATTTTCGTTTACTATTAGTTAATGCGCAGACTGATTTATTGTTTAATTGACTATTATTTAAGTTCGAATGGCGCGCACACGCAACAACTGACGGCTTATTTATTTTTCTATTAGAAAACGTACGAAAACCAAGCGGCGCGCGTCATGTCTGGTTAAAAAAGATCTCAACGAAAGTAGGCAGGGCGAACACGGAATGCGGAATTAATGTCTGTTCAAATTCATTCGGCCCTTTTAAATAATTTGTGTTAAGATTTTGTATAATCAACCAAAGATTGTTATATGTAAATTATTATTTAATTAGTTTCCTTGTATATATGTCATGTACATTTTGTTTAGTTGAGATTACGTAAGTGGTGCAAACGAATCTGAATCTTGTTCAAACTTTTTAATCAAACTTGCGAAACGTATTTGAATCATTTATCAAAACGTGTACAAACGATTAGACTTGTAGAGCCCAATTACAAAAAAACATAAACTTACTTAATGACTGAATTAATAAGTAAGATCGCAATCAAAATTCTCTCTGATGAACAACTAACTACTGGGCTTGAAATTATTTCATCTGTGATTCAAGCAGTTTACCACTTGCTGTTATTCATTTCTATGATTATCTTAGGATTACTTTGCAGTTCTTGCACCGTATTATTTGTACTGTATTAAGTTTCCTCTTTACTATGATAATTCTAGTTTAGAATAAGTTTTCATTTCATGTAAGACGAAATGTAAGGGCACGCATGTGGTTTAGCATTCTTATAAGCGCAGTGAATTCGATTTTGACAACTCGACGTGATAATCTTCCAGTAAGTTATGTGCAAATATGAAAAACCTCACACTGCGCTTCTTAAAATGTTAAATTATGCGTTTTCAAGATATAATTAGATTGACTTTACGTCCATTTTGCCGAAAACGAAACAAAGGAACATTGCATGTTGTCACGTACACTGCAAAAGAGGAAAATGATTGAAAATATTGTCTATGTATATAATTGAAAGTGAACAATTCATTCCAGACGAATTAATCGAAGCATTCAACTATGTAAGATTACAATTCTGTTTTGTAAACTTTGCGAAGGAAATTTAAATTTTAAACTAATTTCTACCATTAATGCAATTAATTCGTTGTTGTGTTGTGTTTTACGTGTAAAAAAAACAAGATAGTTCTGTAAGTAGGTAAAATAACGAAACATAAGCGTGACGACGAGGCAAAACGTAACGATTGTAATTTACGACGGCGGCGCGGAAAAAAAGTTGAGAAATTGTACATATTGCCAAAAAATAATAATGTTAAATTAGAGTAATGTGCTAAAATGCATGGCTGCATTTAAACATATTTAAAATTAATGAGAAACGTGCAAGAACGCGTTCGTTTTCGTTCGGAATTCGAAAAGGTAGCAGATGGAGACAAAGAAGAATAAACAAACACAGTAAACAAGTAGCAATGGTTGCATACGTCATGTCTGGTGTGTGTACGAATAATTTATGATTATTTTTATGACGACGAAAACGAGATGATAATGAAATGAAAAAAATAAAACAACATATTTGTAACGAATTCGTGGTACCTGCTGTAGACGAGAACAAGAGTTTACAGGATTCAACATTTATATTTTTTTGAATTTTCTTATCATAAACATGAACATGAATGGCTATCAACAGAACATCATCTTGACCTAGAGCTACATGACTGACAATGCAAAATGCAAGTTCAGAGTGCCAGAAGTGATCCACGAGCGTTAGTCAGTGGTGTCAGCTCCAAGCGTCGAGGAAACATCGGTAAGTGATGCTATATAATTTAAACGTCTAATATTTGGTACGTTGCGTTAACAATGCGCTGAATAAAATTAAGCCCACACCTGAAAAAAAATCATAAATTAGTTTCTCTCCGACTCAGAAAAATATTTTTCGATCATTACTCTTAGGGTGTAGTCCCAAGATCCAGTTGAGAGTGCTGTCCCATCCGGACTGACTTGTAAACAGGAAACACGATTCTCGTGCCCATATAGTAGACACATGCGTTCGCACTTTAGCGTATCCCAAACACTCACGGTATAATCATTGTAACCGGAGAACAGGAGTCTGCCAGAGACTGAAAAGTCCACGCTGTTCACGCCAAAAATAATACTTTCCTTGCTGTAAATGGCGACCTCTTTGTCGGCTCGCAGATCGAAGAGTCTACATGTTGAATCGTCACTTCCTGTTGCGACAGCATCGCCGCTCGGGTGGAACTTCACGCTGTTCACATCCGACTCGTGCCCTTCAAACGATTGCACACATTGACCTGAACGCATGTCCCATATCAAAACCAATTTGTCACAGCTCTAAACATAAAAATAACTCTTAAATCATCAGTTAAGTTACAATATTCGAACAAACTCACCCCTGAGACGAATGTATTTCCGGTTTCTGATGGTGCCAAATCAATTGCCATCACATCGGCCGAATGCCCGTGGAAATTTTGTAATAACTGCCCTGATTCAACATCCCACAGGGCACAAGTTGAGTCACCACTACCAGTGAGTATTTGCTGATCTGAGTTGGGAAAAATACAACAGCTCATGTAACTGGTATGTGTGCCCACTGTTTTCTTCTTGAGAGTAACATCTTCATCAAGACTCAAAGGGTAAACAGTAACTTTGTTGTCCAAACCACTAAAAATAATTTGAAATAAACAATCCTTCCATTTTTAATTATATAATGATAATTACCCACAAGCTACCAAGTTACCAGAAGGGGCATAAGCACATGCCATCACCCATGTTGTGGGCATGGTAACTGCATGCTCCTTGTTAGTGGTGAAAGCATCCCAAATAATCATCTTACCATCCTAATGTACAGAAAGCCAACACCATGTCAATGAATAATGTTAAAAGTGCAAATGGAACTGTATAAACCCAACCAGTGAACTATAAGTATATGCACAATTCATACCTGGGAAGATGAAACAATGTGTCTTTTATCTGGAGACCAATCTGAACACAAGACTTTAGCTTGGTGGCCCTTTAGAGTCCTCCTTGGTTTGATATTCATGTAATTGATGATTTCCAACCTCTCAGCCACAGAAGCCACTACAACACCAAGTTTATATTATGAACTCTACAAATTTGAATAATTATTGTTATTACATGTGACATCGTTAAGTTTCTGGCGTTCATCTTCCAGTTTTTGCTTTAATGTTTCTGCTTCCTTCATCAAAGACTCCACAGTCTCAATTGGCTGCGCTTTTACATCGGCGGCCATTCTGAAAGTGCTAATTATTGTAGTAAGTTGAATGTAATTTGAATATTCTGCAATTTACACTGTTAATTTGGTGTTTGGACTTGGTTTTAAACGGATTTGAGATGAATTTTAAGAGGAAACAAGATCAATCAATAAACATAAATGTGTTGCTTGTTTTGGTGGGGCAGAGATGTGCAGCTTTTACGAAGCTTGAAGCGATGCGCGCGCACCGAAATTTTCTGGTGGTAACTACATTTGAAATTGTGTAAGCAATTTCAATTCATTTCAAATTCGTTTTTCGTGGTTTAGCGTAAGACACACGCATTTATTTTATAAGTTTATTACAAAATCACAATTTAAACTACAGAAATGGTACATAGTACAAATTAATATTCTAGTTATTACTTTATTCAATTTCTATCTCAGCACCAACTTTAATCAAAGCTTCTTTTAATTTTTCAGCTTCATCTTTTGCAATATCAGCCTTAACAACAGCTGGTGCACTCTCCACAAACTTCTTTGCCTGTACTAAGTTCATTCCCTCCATCAAGCTCTTAATCTCCTTGATTAGTGCAACCTTCTGTTTCTCATCAAACTTGGTTAGTTTGACTGTGAAGGAAGACTTGACTTTCTGTGGTGCTGCCTCTTCATCATCATCACCAGCAACTGCATTTCCTACTGGCATGGCTCCCATCATAGCCATTGGAGCATCAGGTAGGTTTAGTCTCTTTTTTAATACTCCAGACAGCTCAGAAACCTCCAGGAGATTCAATTGTGAAATTTCAGTAACCAATTTCTCTATTTTTGGAGATACTGGTTTATCTACATTTGAAGGAGGAGGGATTGTTAGGGTAACAACTGGAGATGCAGGTGAGGCTGCTGCAGCATCTGCTGAACTTAAAGGCACACTGGAAAATAAACAGTTTTATCCTGATCTCTTCAAAAATCATTAATGTTATAATGTTATTTACCATCGCGAAACGTTCCGCCAGAGGAACCTTTTAGAGGTGCAAATGAGTAAGCGTGAACTGTTCATAGTTGCGATTATTTGAGGGCTTTTTACGACACCTACAGCATAGATGCAGAATACCTAATTGATGACTTTCGGCTCTTACGGAATTTTTGTGGTTAAGTTTATTCGCAGGAGCATGGGTTTGTATTGTAGCTTTCTCTTCTAGATGGCGCTCTAATGTATTGCTTTGGAAGCAAGTTGGCCCTCTAGTTAGATACACTTTTATTATTTTTAAATTTTATTTTCTTCAATTATTTCAAATTATTCACCATTATTGTATATATGGAGAATCTGACAGAAAAAGCATTTTATATAAAGAACATTTATGGGCTGTAATTTGGCACTTAAAATAAATAGTAAGAATCTTTCGAACAAAATTCATTTCTACTGCATAAAAAACGTTGTTGCGTTAATGCATCGATTTTAAAGTTTTGAGAAATTACGATATAAATCGTTTAAACCATCACTATACAGTTGAACATGTATAATTACCTTGTGCAAACGGAAAATTGGAATTTGTTTGAAAATAATAAATCCCTGTAGCATTAGTGGTCATATGTTCTCCATAGATCACCGCCGGTCGATCAGACAAAAGCGGCGTAGCTGTAAAACCACAAGAAAGGATCGATTCATTAAAATATGCCGGTGCTCTCAAATGACTGCAAACTTCAATTAATAGACACCCCGGTTGAAGAGACAGAAATAAACCATTTGCGTAAAAATCAGCTGTACCAATTTGTTTTGTTTCGCCTAGAATCAACGAAGTATGTAACGCATCAACAAATACGGCATCCGACGGCTCAAGGCCCACGTCGAGATTAAATAAATCTGGAATAAGACTGAACATTGGTCCAGCTGGATCTAATGCAGTAATGCGTTTGATTGTTATATTTCTTTGTGATTTTATTCTGCGCGCTGCATTACTAGAAACATGCGCTCCTAAAGAAAATCCAATTATGTGAAGTGTCTCTAGGTTTAAGCCTTGTTCTTGCAGGTCAATTAAAAAATCGCCGACAGTATCACCTAACAATTAATGTAAAATGAAACTAACTTATTGTAAATTGCTGTAAATTATGTTTATAAACATACCAACAGTTCTTACACTAAAAGCTGCAAGTAAATAGAGTCCTCTTGATTGACTCCAATCGGTCATGATAACAGTACATTCCATCAGTTGGAAATACGAGTCAGAGATGTATTCATACCATTCTGTTGTGATATTTTCCAGCCAACCATGGATTAACACAATGATAGGAATACTAAGATCCAGTTTTTCTAACTCATCAGTTGTTAAATTTCGTATAGTGAATACCGGGTTTTTATACGAATTTGAACGATAAAAAAACGATACATTTGATTGGCCTTTAACAATGAAAATTATAAATAAATATTAACATAAATGCAATACACATTTTGTTTATCTGAAAAATACCTTTAACTATAATGCAAATTAAAACAACAGACCATAACGACTGCAGTCCTTTGTTTAACATGTTCACGGTTTAAATAAGATTTCGTAATTTATACAATTGCATTATATGTATTCATTTTGCATTTATATATTTTCAGTTATCAATTTTAATTACTATTAATAAAGAAATTTTGTGCAAGTTTGTTGTTTGTCTCATACGTCATATGATAAATGATTATACTGAATTTAAAGCGTTGCAATGCGGGCTTGCAATGTTTTCACCTGATAATCCATACTCAAAACATAAATTTATTAATCAGTTTCTAATTAATTAACGTAATCACTAATCACCATTATTGGATTTAAAATCAGGTACATCTTTGATATCTTTAATCTTCTGTAAAAATAATTCGATTCGGCATTTCTGAAAATCACATCTACGCCGGCTCTTTATAGTATGTAAATAATATTTATATGTATTATTAAGTGCTCTAAAATATCAATTAAAAAGTACTCTTTTAAAAAATTAAAACACTTGAAAACTAATTTCAATATTTCAGTCATAATGAAGGGACTTTTTAAACAATGACTTCTCTTCAACCCTGTAATGTCCATAAGAAATTCAAATTGTAATGTTTGTTGGGATTGAGGTTCGGTGTATTACGATTCAGGGATCTTCATTTATGGATAACACACGTGTTTACTGATTAATTAACAATTAATTGTAACGCTTCGGACTTTTGAAAAAGTTAACAGACATGAATGTGTATTTGGGCGTAAGTTTCCAGCATTACAGCATAACAGCAATAAAATTCCGGTAACATAAAGTAAACCTATTTATACTTGGTATTACTCTGATTCGTTTAACGTAATTTATTTTCATAACTTAATATAATTCCTTCAAAAACTTTACCGTATATTTATTATGAATTGTATATAGAGTAGTATTTGTCCTATATAAGTATATTTGTTTATGCTTTTTATTGCATTGAAGACTAGATTACGGTACTACGTACGGTCTATACCTGTACGACCTTCACTATACTAGCCGTGGGGAGCGGGAGAGAGGATAGTTTAGCGGACTATTAGCAGTTTCGGACCGATTGTCAGCTGATACGGTGGCTGATCCGCGTTCTTCTTCCGCGTGTCTGCAGATACATTTGTTTTTATTTCGATAGTTGTATATGTATATCATCATTTTTAATATCAATTAACGAGTAGCCCTTTCAAGAACCGTTATAAAAACATTTCAATTTTCCACCCCTTTCGGAAGTGCCTTGAAATGCCCTTCAAAATTCAGCATTTTTAGGAAAACTGGAAAAGATGAGATGGAAAACACCCTGAATCTCCGAAACTAATTGACTATCTTCGAGTTTCTCTACGCCAGAATAGAGTCAGGGAGTTTGTCTACACGATGCATACCTTTTCTACCTTCCAGGTCTTTTGGAAGTGCCCTAAAATGCTCTTCAAAAATAAGCAATTTTAAAAATATTTGAAAACATAGTGTGGAAAACACCCTGTATCTTGTAAACAAATTGACTCTCTTTTAGTTTCTCCCCGCCAAAAGAGAGTCAGGGAGTATGTCTACACGATGCATATTCTTTCTACCTTTCAGTCCTTTTGGAAGTGCCCCAAAATGCTCTTCAAAAATGAGCAATTTTTGAAAATTTTAAAACATGGTGTGGAATACAACTTGTATCTCGTGAACTAATATATTTTCTAGAAGTATCTAAACGTCATGTTAAAGTTCGAGAGACCCTTTACACTATGCATACCTTTTTAACTTTATAAACGCTTTGGAAGTGTCTTAAAATCCCATTTGAATATCGCTAGTTTTGTTCAATAAATTTCATTTTTTGGTCGAATAACAGGGTCGAGCTTTTTTTCATCAAATTTATTCGGTTGAATTTTTTGTTAAAAATTTTTCCTTAATTGTTTGTCGCGGTATTACGTACTGTTTCTAAATGCTCCTTCGATTGTGCGCGAGTGCTGTGAATGCTGGGTGTTCGTTAAGCGCGGATTGTACACACGCAGAGGTAAAGCGTGAGTGAGGTTCCGTCGGCCGTCTTTTTGTAGCATACGCGTATTTCATATTTATTTCGTATTTTCTTTGGATATGCCAAACGCGCAAAAATGTATTTGGCATCAAGGTATGTTCTCGCTTTCCTTCAGCCATATGAAAATCAAATCCATTATTGACTTAACTTGTTTTTACTTCAACGGCGTGGTCTTACGCCACACAAATAATTTTTGTCTCTGTTTTATTACCTACCGTTGATTTGCAATACGTATTCAATTGTTCGTTTTCGTTTAATGTACAAATCCTAGGGCTTCACACGAGATGTGACTGGACGAGACTATCAAAGGTATCGTCTCGGTCTCGGTATCGTCTCGTAAAAGCGAAAGAAGACCGAGACGATACGAGAAAAGTCTCGGTATCGTGTGAAGCCCTAACAAATCCGTCGGTTGCGTTCATAATTCTTTGGCGGCTCTTTTTCTGGCAAAACTCACTAACACTAACACTATTGGATATAATGTTTAATTCCGAAAATAAGAAAGAGAAATCTTTTGCCTTTTTTATGATGAAATCAGCTTTTGGAATAATTGGAATTTTTAAATCCTGTTTTGGATTTTTAAAGATAATTTAATTCTTAATTGATTATTTAAGAAATTATTTTTCTATAATTATTGGTTAAGGCCCTATTTGCAATTTTAATCAAAAAAAAAAATTTTTACATTCCAAAATGGCTTTAATCTACATGTTTCCGATTTAGAATTTAATATACTCTCAAAAACCAAAAACAGAATTCAAAAATTCTAATTATTACAGAATCTGTATTTGTTGAAATAAAATATTTCGTCATAAAAAAGGCAAAGATTCCTCTTTTTTTATGTCGAATGCAGTTTTCACTAAAATTTCCTAAAAGGGCCTAAACAGTTAATCTTGGGAAAAAAAGTTACTAAAATAATCGATGTAAAATTAAAAGAACTGTTTAAGTATTTATTATCCTAACATTGAACGTTTAGGGCCTATTTGCAATTTTAATTTTATATTCTATAATTTTATTACTGGTGTCCGATTCATAATTTAATCGAAATAAAAGTTCCATGCATTGTACGAGTAAAATTCTTTTCATGTTCTGCATTACCACACTGAATGTAACAGAGTTTACAAACAAACAAGTTTTCTTATCTCGTGCAATTTTTGTGCGGTCGCCATGCGGTTCGCCACGCGGTTGGCTTGCCTACAACGTCAGTCTCATATTTGTCGTCGGGTGATCTGCACGCACATTTTCTTCACAATAATTTGAGTTCTTTAATTTCTTCGCGTCTTTACGTAATATTTCTAAATGCTCCTTCCATTGTGCGCGAGCGTTCGTTAAATGCGAATTGTTTATACGCAGAGGTAAAACGTGCGTGATGTTCCGCCGGCTGTCGGATACTCTTTTTGTATGATACGCGTATTTCATCATTTCTACAATGTGCATAATTAAGGTCCTTACAATTTATTGGATAGGCCAATAGCGCAAAAATTAATTTTTCTACTTCCACATATAAAGCGTCACTTTTTTCACGGTTTGTAGACACAAAAATTGGTAAGTAGAAAAATTAATTTTGTATCAAGGTTCTCGCATTTCTTAAGCCATTTGAAAGTCAAATCCATTATTACCTTTACTTGTTTTTACTTCAACTGCGTGGTCTTTAAGCCTACAAATAATTTTTGTCTCTGTTTCAATACCCTTGATTTGCATTACTTATTTAATACCTTGTTTTGTTTTTGTTTTATGTACAAATTAAAAAGATTAAGATAGTCGCGTGCCGTCGGCTGCGCTCTTGATCCTCTGTCGGCTTTCCGGGCTGCTCGCTGATTGTTTTATATGATTTAAAATAAAATTCTGCTTTGTGCTTTACTTTTGTAATATCTAACAAATCACTTTTCCTTAATATCCAAAGAAAATACAATTTTTGAAATGTTCTATTTTATGTTTCCTTACTTTTCACTTTTCTTTGATTTCCGGTGTAAACATTTGGATTTTTAAAAAAATTCCTGATGGTTTTCTTCTTATATTACTCGTATCTGGTTATTGTCGCCATGTTACTTGTTTCCATCCGTTTTGGGGCTGTCCATTAATCACGTAATCTTTTTTTTTTTCATTTTTTGGACCTCCCCCTCCCCCTTGGTGATACGTCGTGAGGTTTAAGATTACCCCCCCCCCATCATCACGTGTATTTTAGTCCCTACAAAGAATAATAAATTTTTTACAATTATTATAAGATAATATTATTATCTTTAAAAACAGATAGAAACTATCATTTATTTAATTCATAAATTACACTATTACACAGTATTACACTAGTCCATGAACATATTTAATATATATTGTCCTCGGACCACGGATTTGCAAGACTTTCTTCAACACTAACAACTGCACTAGCCCATATTTCATTAAATTCCTTCTGAGCAATACCAGGTTTTTTTTCCTTTTTTATACTCCGCAAAAAGGTCTTTGTACAGATCACCAACTTTAAACATTGTTTTAATGTGTTGTGGGTGATGTGTGTATGTAGTGTCGAATGTGTATTGTCTGAGGTGTTTATTAAAGATGTGGAGACTACCAAGTCTGGTGAAGAAGTGTCTTTCCTCATTTCTTGTCTCTCACCAGCAACCCACCAGCAAGAAATTGGAAAAATAAAAAGATGTAAACTAATAGCAAGCTAATAAAACTAAAATATTAAGAATTTTGGGCCATGGCATGCAATGCAGATATTGAAGAATTTAGAAGGCACAGATGGTGAGATGGTAGTTGCACTACGGGACATAAAAATTAAAGTAACTGCTGAAAGTAGTAGAATTTGAAGTAAGAGAGCAATCAGCAATAAAAGTACTTAAGTAAAGATGTTGGAAAATAACTGGCGGGCTACTATTGGCGACTGCATGACAAGCCGGGTGGTCGGCGGGTGAGGCCTCCGTTCCTTGTCTGGCAACGGCAAGTTAAGGGCTTACTACACGCCGCTTTTCTCTTTCGTTGTGTATCACCCTGTTGATATATTATCCCTCTCTTTTAATAGACCATACTTATTAGTGTTTGGGCGTTTTACTTTTAAAACTTAGAGTTTTCTTTTTGTAACACCCTGTATATTAATTTCCCGTGATGTCAAAAATGGCATGATATATGTTATCGGATTTAAACATATGATTTTCCTGTAAAATATTGTAGTTTTCTTTTGTATCACCCTGAATTATGATTTCCCATAGTGGGTTTGCCAAAAGGGAAAAGATATATGTTATCCTACTTAAACTTAGGATTTTCTTATAAAATATTGTAGTTTTCTTGTTGTATCACCCTGTATTATAATTTCCCGCAGTGTTTTGTAACACCCTGTATAATAATTTCCCGTTGTGAATTTGCCAAAAGGGGAATGATATGTGTCATCCCACTTAAACATACATAGAATTTTTCTTTAATTTTGTGATTTTTTCTTTACATCACCCTGTATATTAATTACCTTTGATTTTACTTTGACTGTGGTTTTAGATATATATTTCCCTACTTGAATTTGGATTTTCTTTTTAAATGTTATTAGGTATATTGTTTGTGGAACACCCTGTATAATAGTTTTCCGTAATTGCCGCGAAAATTTTGCAAACTTTGTTAGTATTATATTTATATTCTTTGTTATTTTTTACCCTTGGTCCTTGTCTGCATGTACGAGGCTATACTACTCTTATAACGAGATTCAAAATGGCGGCGCACATATTGTTTAGTATTATATTTTACAAGTTTTCATTGTATACACGTTTCAATAAAGAAATGTTAAAAGTGAATGTGCCTCCTATGATTTGTGTGTACCCCTTCTATCATTTCAAGTATAGGTCAGAACTTGTAAAAATATTTTTAAGTGTCGCCTGCTGGAGACGACTTAAAACTTAGAAATATTTTTACAAGTCCTCATAAGGAATGTCCTTATAAGGAGTTCTCCCACTCGGGGGATGATCTCCCACCATAAAAATTGTTGATATGCCTGAGAATCCTGGGGATGAAGCGTAGAGACATCGCAGCTGTAGGATGGGCCGGGAGCACATCGAAGCAGTGTGACTGTCTAACGACACGCGCCAAAAAATTTAAAAATCTGATCCTCCCCTGTTATCTTTCTTCTATCTCCTCTTTTCTGCTCTACTCTACTCTACTCTCTCTGTTCTCTTCCTTCTACCTTCTCCTATTCTTTACTACTCCTTCTTCTATTTCTCTGTTCTCGTTTCTCCACTTACTTTCTTACTTCTATTATTGCCTTCACTTGTATTTCAATGTCTCTTATGTTTTACTGCAATTCATATATGCAACCCAAATTACACCTGATATTTTTATATTTGAGAAAAATGCCTTTGATACCTGAGATTCGATCCGTGTCTGCTAGCATGCCAGCAGGTGCACGTCTCCACTCGACCACCGAGTGTTTTTATCGTTAATATTTAATTCTTCTATTTATGTTTCTGCTTTATTAAATTTTTTAAAAACAACAACACATGAATTAGCTATGTTACACTCACATAAGCTTCATATGAAATATGATTTAAGACGCATATACTGAAAACGACAAAGAGGATATTACAAAGAAATAGGAATAAGATTTTAATTTTAAATTGAGTTTTATTAATTATATTTAACAATACATTCTTTTTTCTTTTTTAATAAAACGAACGTACGTACGATCCAAGGTATATCCTACGTACCATCGAGCCACAACGCTCTGTTATCAAACGTTACACACAAAGTAGAATTGTTAGTAGTAACATTTTCGTAGCATTAGAAAGATACAGAAAACGCCTCATGGACCAAACATGTTTAGTTTACAGAAAATAGTTTCACCACACATTATATCAAACCAAATTAATATAAAATTTAATGAATATGTTCTAAATTGCATCATAAAATCCTTCAACCTGAGTTCGGAACACCACAAATGAGAAGCACAAGCCAACAACCGGGCGGTATTCGACAGTAGACACAAATGTTCGGATAAAGTCACTCAATAGCAGGTATCACGAGCAATAATTCATTAACGTTCAGCCGCGCTCGCTGAAATACATTGTCGTTCATGCCACTACTAAATGAAAATCACCAGAAACGCGATTAATAGCTACGAAAACAAAAATTGGTTTTTACATGTCAATAGGGCCTTAATCTATAATTGTGTTACTGCATTCAGAATTTAATTTACTTTCGGAATCAAAAACAAATTTTAAAAATTAAAGCACAAATCAGAATTTTATTTTGAATCATGTAAAACAATTGGAAAAGCGCAAACAAGTAAAGTCAATAATGGATTTGATTTTCAAATGGCTGAAAAAATGCGAGAACATGCCTTGATGCAAAATATTTTTATGTTTTGCTATATCCAATAAGTTGTATGGACCTTAATTATGCACATTGCAAAACCGATGAAATACGCGTATAATACAAAAAATAAAAAATAAGACGGCCGACGGAATATCACTCACGTTTTACCTCTGAATATGTACAATCCGCGTGGTACGAACCCCGCACATCAATCGCGCACAATCGAAGAAACATTTAGCAACTCAAGAATAATGAATAATGAATGAATGAATAAGGAAGAAAATGTGCGTGCAGATCACTTGACGACAAAAATGAGACTAACGTGGTACACAAGCCAACCGCGTGGCTATCGCACAAAAATTGCACGATATAAGAAAATATGTTTGTTTGTAAACACTGACACTTTCAATGTGGTAGTGTAGAACATGAATAGAACTGTACTCGCACTATGCATGGAACTATTAATTTCGATTATATTTTAAATCGGAAACCTGACAGATAATTTAATGCTACATCGATTATTATTGTAACTTTTTTTGATAACATTAACCGTTTCAACCATATAAACAATTTTAGAGAAAAATGCATTCGTTTTTCGTAAACCCTTTTGTTTACGTTTTGTTTTGTTTGCATCAAGCAGTGGGCCGGAGGCGCTCTGGGAGAGCGACCTGTAGACTGTCTTATAGAACGACACGCCGCCAAAAAATTTAAAAATACGAGCCACTCCTGTGTTCTTTCGGGGTGGCTTTCCTCTATTCTGATTCTCTCCAACTACTTTCCCTCTCTCGTATACGCCTCCTCCTCATCCCTTCTCACCTGTTCGGTTTGTTTCTATCTTGTATTGAGTATCTTTCTTATTTTGCAGTGCATCTTACTGAACTGACATATGCAACCAAGATTGCACCATTTATTTTTATATTTGAGAAAAATACCTTCTATAACTGGAGATCGAACCATCGATCTACGGTATGGCAGCATGTGCGATTTGCGATTGAAAACGTTTATTTATATTTACAAAGCAGGTGCTATACACCTGAGAACCACACGGCTTACTTGTCAAATCCTATTCGTTTCTTCTATTTATGCTTTCAATACTTACAGTACAATAAAACTACTGCATACATATAATGCACTGTACTCTACTATGCTATACTACTCGTATGGTGTACCTACTCTTAGAGTTCAACTTGACTTAATACTAATCCTGAAAACGACTAAGTGAACACTAGGGACACATGTAAACAAGAATGTAACAATAAATTATCTTTTATTGACTAAATCATTTGCAATTATTAAAAAGCAAAAACATGGTAACTGGAAGATTTAGAAAAGGTTAAATAATAGTAAACCTTTATTTGTTGCTACTTACTCCTTTGTTCTTCTATCAATAAAGGACAGAAGAGCACAAACCGCAAATTTTATGTAAAATTGATGATATGCACTTCTTTACTATCCCCTGCGGAGATTCCTAATGTACTTATTTGTATTAACGTCTAACAATTAAATTTAATTTGAACTCCAGTAAGTATCCGTAGTCACCGGAACATATCCGACGGTCGCCGCGCGCGTTCCGCTAATAATCACTTAAATCATTCGTCCTGCTGTTATTACTAAACGCCCCTGATTGTCAATCGATTTAAGTAATGCTACAAAATAACAAGAATCGCGAGAAAGTGTCACCACCTTTGATTAATGCACAAAACACGTGCCCACCACGCAACAACTCTCAACCGACTAAGCCGAACTAAGCAAGACAGATTGATAACCGACCCGCCATTGAAGCACCGCAACTCAGCGCAAAAAAAAACCACAAAAATTAAGTACGAATTTAAATCAAATCGATGGAAGTGCCATCTGACCGTAGCGGAACGGAACCATATAAATAGCTGACACTAGCGCAATCTGGGTGTGACGGAACAAACCATTGAAGGTAGCCGTAGAAATCTGCATTACGTCTGCTAATATTTAAAATTTAATTCAATTAACGAAAATAATTTACGAAAATTATAAACAAATTCAATACTTCCAAACTGATGAAAAAATCGTTGTCCTAGGATATTTTGATTGCCCGCTAGACACCTAAAACTACCAAAAATCAGTACATCGAAGCAAAAAATAATCTTTTTGCAGGTTTCCCGTGTGCTAATCATACAATTTATAATCATATCAAAATCCACATCATTTGTCAGGTTTGACAAATACATCATCTTGCATTGATGTGCAATGGTTTAGTAATATATCGTTTTTCATATCGGTATTGTGAGGGTATAGGATACAGTAAGTGTTTACTTTACTTAGCTTAATACTCACCCTCTCGTACAACAATTGTTTTTTCAAAAGGAAACGAAGTGATTTTAAACACCAGTTATGTGCCGCCATCTAACAATGTACTTAAAACTAATACTCTGCGGATCCTTGTCAACTTGATAAATCGAATCGGTTTGCTCCATTCCTGCAACTAAAACTTCTTCTCTGAAGTTGTTCACATTTCCAAGGTATGTATCTCACATTCGCATACCCTGATTCCACATTAGTGTGTAACAATCGCGTTTATTTCATATATAACTGGGATTGTTAAAGACGATTATTTGTTTCATATTACATAAGATAACCTCTACTATCTTTATATTTTATATTCACTTACAGATGATTTCCAATCAACTTTTCAATGAAGCCAGGAGGACCGCTCGTCAGGTCGTCAACGCACGTAACATAGGCATTCTCGCACCGGCCCTTCAAAAAGCAACCGACCCAATTCAGCAGTTGTTCCTTGACAAACTCAAGGAGTACAAATCCAAAGCAGGCTCGTAAGTTATATCACCTCTAACATTTACATAAAAAAATATGTTCAAGAATTAGAACTTATAGCAAGCTTTCATGGTCTAAAATGACACTATATTCATTACTCATATAGTATATATTTGGAAATATCTTCAAAAATTTAATGCAGAAAGGTTCATCATAGTGCTTGAATTATATAATGGTGACAGAGAATATATTTGGGGAATCAATCACATTTACCACTTTCAAGAATTAAGCTATGATTGTTTATATTTACAGTGGCTACAAACTTTTTGAACCCAGCCCTGAAGTGCAGAAGGAGCTGAAGAGTGAACTGGAAAAGGTCACCCAGCAGTATGGTGGCAATGCTGGTGTAGACATGACTAAATTCCCCTCATTCAAGTTCACTGATCCCAAGATTGACCCCATCAATATGGAAAAGTAAAAAGTGATTCATTAAATGTTCTTTTAGAAAATGTAGGAATAAAGTCACAATACTATGTTTGTTTGTAAGTCTTTATACCCAAAGAGACAAACAAATAAAATAAATTAATCAGTTAACATAAAACAGCAATTGTTCAATGGTTTCATGTAAAGCAGGCATATCAAAAGTCTCAGCTAAATGTTCAAACTTCTGCAGCAGCCCGACAAGTTCATCTTTTGATACAATGCATCGATATTCACCGGCACATGGGCAATGTTTAATCAAATTCTCCATTTTAATCTATAACAATAACAAATTTAAAAATTGAATCATATTCTGTGACATTATTATACGGGCATTACCTGTATACATTTTTTGCACTGCAAATCCTGCAGATTATACGCTAGGAACTTTTTGCTGACCGTTTCCAATAGCAAACTTTCAATCTCGTGATTGTCGTAGGGGGCATTACATATGGGACATAACCAGGCATGCTCCGATCGATGTGTATCCCTCCCCAGATCAATATCCCTGCAATGATTGCAAGTCTTGCAAATTAATTGCGGAATGATATAGGAAACAGTTGTGTCCTTCCAAATCGTCAGGTCGGAAAACTCCCCGACTCCAATTAATCGCAAAAGATTCGATTTCAGGTGTTTCACTGCGTCCCCAATAGAAGGATCTAGTGATAACACGTGGCAAATTGCATTGATGAAGTCTAGAGACGGGAATGACGTAGCTGTTTTTGATAGTTTCATGTGAATCTTCTCCACAATGCTAAAATATAAATATAGCTTCACTCTTAAAACATGAAAAGATAGATAAGAACTTACGGGAATAAATTTTGTGATATATCACAATTAATCAGTTCTCTAGCAAATTCAGCTACATCTTCATGACTAGCCAAGCCAATATGTGGCTGACTGAGAGGGATTATTTGCATTGTTTCATGTCTAGATTCCATTTCTTTGAGTTTCACGTAAATCGCGTTTATGTATCCAGCTATAATTGTATTGAAACTGTTTCGACATCCGGATGCTTCGGGAAGTTGTTCAGCTATGTTCCAATTCATTACAACGACAGGCTGGAAGAATAATTTTAAAGGTTTGCACGGAAAAGAAATAATGAACGTACTGCATCTTCATCATCGTCCCTTTCTACATTTGTTGGTTCTTCCTCAAGGAAATCATCTCTTTCGTCGGTGTTGTTTTCGTTATTTTCTTCAGAATCTTGTGGTAATTTACCTTGAATACCTGCGTAGTTTGCCGTATCGAGCCAAACCAATTGTTCCCAACATTGCCTGAGTAAATATTTAGAATCAAATCATCGTAAATATAATGCCAATAGTTAAAACCAACCTGTATGTAATCTCTAACGAATGAAATAGTTCTTTATTCCTTATCGACGCTACAACAAACTCTATATTAGCCACAGCATCCTCTAGCTTTCTCTTTTTGGAGCAAACGATGATTTTGTTAAAGTTTGCGTATACAATAGTGCACCCCAAGCGTTTAAACTCCGCTACCAATTGAATAAACAACTTTTTCATTAAGTTTTGTAATGTGCGTAAGAGCGCCGGATCAAATAATAAAGCCTTCGGTGATCTTAACCATCGATAGAAATGAATAACTTGGAAATCTGCAAATACATTCCGGTACATTGAAATGTCTCTCATCCATGCGCTGGCCATCGATCGCAATATCTTAAAAGCTTCCGCACAACGCGCTGTTTCATCATAAGCAGTCAATGGTGTATTTGCGCTCATCATATCATCCAAAGACTTAGTTGCAGCAGCATCGAAAGCTGTCGCCACGCTGGTACCTTCTATATCAGTCACATGATGTGACTGTAAGAGCGTATTAATAGCCAAGCTATCAATATCTAATTCTATACAAGCGCTGGAATACCAACCAGGGTTGTTACATACCTCGCTGGAACTTTCATTGCTTTCAGCGAGGAGGCGCGCATTATTTTCTTGACTTCCGCCCAAGTCTGGCTTGTCAAACGGCGAGCACCAAAGGATGTGATTTTGTTTCGTTAAATGGCGAGCGTAGAATAAATCAGCTCCGAAAAGTGCTGGATCGGCAGGCATATTACCAATTGGTAAATGGAAGTATCTACACTGTTCGGTCATTAATTCTAAAATCCGTTCGCTGTTGAGATAATGGCGGATCATTGCCTTTGCGCCAGTTTTTTGCCATTCTAGATTATTATAGAGGTCTTCAACATCTTGGACATGGATTTGCGTAGTGGGAAAGTCGCTTAGCAGTGGCATATGGCTCAATAAACTGTGTAAATCATCGATGCTTTGGATTGCTAGTAAAGTAGGACCTTTCTTCTCATCTTTATAGGCTTGCAAAGTTTTTTGGATAAATTTGTACACTTGTTGCAAGTTGGTTTCAACGCGGACTTCGAAAGTGATTCCATCGGGTGGTAATAAGTCTTCGTCTGGATTTCTTTCCGCCCTAGATATTTATACGTTAATGTCACAAAATTTTATAGAAAATAAATTCGACTTACTTCACAATGCGTTCAGCCTGGTATAAATTGTGCAAATTGGGCATTAAGTTAGTGCGTACCGTATCTACGACTGCAATCAATGCCTTTTTCAGTGGTGTAAGAAAAACACCAAACATTTGTCTTGAACCGACATTCGCGCGATGTTGATATAAGTAGATATGGCGTAATGCATCCCTCGGGAGGTATGGCTGTCGTGCAACACTTCCAATATCCAACTCTCCTAATGTGAAAGTGTCAGTGTTATTATTCACACCTTTAGCAACTTTGCAAACGCATCCGATCTGTAGCAAAGCGCGGAAAAGCGGTGGCATTTGTGTTTCATAAACACCTTCCACATCTGGTTCAGTTTGATCCACGTAAATTTTCCTACAGAGAAAAAAATTAAATGAATTCAAAGAATAATTAATAAGAACCAACATACTTTCCATGTTCCTGAAACAATTCTTCAGGAACACTGTACATGTACAAATGATACGCCTGTTTTGACCGGGGTAAAGTCCGATTACATTTTTTAAACAGCGCACCTTCATCCGCACATTTCGGTGACCGTAAGTTCGCATAAAAAGTCCGAGGGACAATCAACTTAACTAAATGCAATTCGTTTTGTACCAGTGCCCATAAGCGATATTCTCCAGGCGCGTTCGATACTTGCGATACTTGTAGTACCTGCCAATTGTTCACCATGAGACTCCTCTGAGCTTTCTGTAAGAAACCACCGAGACTTCCGGTTTGCCCGGTTCGCACCACAGCCGCCATGTTTGTTTTATTTCTTTTTTTGCTATTCACTTCACCGTTATTCCTCTGCAACGCTTGGTATCTCCATTTTCTTTTGTGAAATTGCAACCAAGCAATATGTTCAGCATCGGAGTTACCGTAAGGCGGTGGATTGCCGAGAACATCGTGCCAACTCTTAGCTAAATCAATATCTTCAAATTCATTATCAGACCGTTTGCGCTTAGAAACAGTAGCTATTTTTGGCGAAATTGTATTTGCATTTTTATTCTTTCCGATATCTTCTATATCATCACAGTCCATTTGATTGTTACTGTCGCGTTGTTGTAAAGCTGGTTTAGGAGCTGAAGAAAACATATCATCAATACGGCGTTGTTTAAATTTATCGTTCTTCTCGAGCATTTTCTTATGCAACCAGTCCGGATGACGCACTCTTGGTACAGGGTTTGCTACTCCTTGTAATGCAGCTGGTATTGTGATGATTTTTTGTATAGTACCACCAAGTCGTTCGATGTAATAACCCCAGTCCAGGATATCACGAATATCCACGGCGTTCAGAGAAGAATCTTTCAACCATCTTCGCAGAAAATGATTTTTTACGGCTTCCTCAGCTTGGAAAATAGCGAGCGGAATGGCCCTAATATAATTTATCAAATTAAATGATTGAATATTTAATTACAATTAGAATTACAATTAGTACCTTTCTGTAACAGGTGCACCATCTGGTTTTCTAGAGATAATGTACTTGCAAGCCAAACCAGCATCTTTTACCATTTGATCACCTAAAAATTCAGCCAATCGCTTCGCGGTACTAATTGACGTACTTTTTTGTTCGCCATATTCTTCCAATTTACGTGACATCGAACGATTCTCGGAAATTAACTCAAATAACTCCGAATCTGGCAGATGACGACCATGAGAATACAAAACATCCAACCAATAATCAGCAACTTGTGCCACTGATGCATAACATGTTTCCAACGAATTCCCTTTTAAAAACGACTCAAAAACAGACGATTGAAAATTTTTGATTAATTGAAGCTCGCCTCTACGTTTTACTTCGAATCTAAATAAAAAAAGTTCATTTAACAATTTAAACAATAAAATTAATCGAATTAGATTGTACCCTTTCAATTCCGCCAGAGATCCATCAAAATTAAATACAGCGTAACGCTTTTTTAACTTTTTACCTTCTTCCTTCGATGCTGGTAACACCATAGCTTTATAAGGTCCATCAACCTCAAAGAAAATTGTATTTTCCGATCGTGTTTCATACTTAAGTTTTTCATGATCTACCAATTCGTGGTATTGATCATTGGTAAAATGATCTTTCACCATAAAATTTAAAACTGTGTTCGGATAAGAAACTTTGATTTTAGGTTTTTTTGCATTGTTTGTGAGAACAGTTACATTTTCAGGAAATGAAGCGGGTAAAATACACCAGATTCCGTCTGTGTCCAATTCCAATGGTCGACCAATTTGTTCTACTATTTCTCTGGCACGCATGATAATATGCGCACCGGTGTAACAGACAATTCCAGCCATTTCCATACTATGCCAACGTGCTCTGAATAAATAATCAAAATGTGTCTTATTCGTTAATTTAAAGTAGGTAAACTTACCCTCTTCTCATCACATAGCCATAGAAAGAATTCAAAATACATTTATGAGCAGTTTGCAATGAATCATACAAAACTTCCTTATTTTTTGCCGATTTAATTTCGGACGCATCGCCTGATTTTATCGCTTCCACCACGTTTTGTTTCGCCTTTTTACTCAGACCTTTATATTCATACCGACGATCACGAAAAGCACGCACAGTATCCACATAAAATGAGTTTTCTTTTTGACAAACAGTTGTGGTGCGTTCTTCAATGCGCGTGAGTTTCGTTTTCTTATAGGCTTTCCTACAATACACTGACAAACGTTTCTTTTCTAACTCGGACTGTTCCAACTTTGTCAACTGATGGAAAGCTCTTTGCGGTCCTCCGGGAAACTGCGGCGGAAACTTTTCGGTTTCCAACTGTTGTTGAATACGATGATATTCATTTCTAGTAGCAGGCACTTGAAACAAAATGAAATGTATTTTATTTATGTTTAATACTTGTGTTAATAAAAATAATTCCAACTTACTATATTCTCCTCTCCACATCCATGCCATATTACGTTGACATCCAGCATTAGGCTTATTATAATCACAAGAAGCGCAAATAGTTTCATTTACCATTGAACACGGCTGCAACCTATTCGTCAGAATAATATTCGGATACATTGCACCAACATCCAAATGATAAATCAGCGGACGTTCCAACCGCATAGGTTGTGCTTTTAATTCCAACAACTGATCAGTAATCTCCTTCATAACTTCATCAAGATTCGTGACATCCTCCAATGGAATACCTTCTTCGGTAACAATCGCATGTGCCATTGTACGAGGAAGTTGCTCAATTAACATATCAAGCGCACTAGGCTCCAATCTGAATCTACACGGAATATCCGCGCGGAAAATACCTGACTCTAAAGCTTCAACATGTCCTCCAACGTAGGTTTCTTGATGCAAAACATGGCCATCATCTGTGAGTTTGTTGAGAATGGTTTCTTCTTTGTTGGGGAATATGATATTGGCGTGAAATGCTTCAACCATAAGTAAAGCTTCGCACAATGTACCAGAACCTTTGCGGAGTACTTCATCAGGCTCGCAGGGAATGATTGTACACAAAGCAAAGATAAACGGATGCACATATTGCATATACAAGTAGTATGTTGCAACCGCATCGGATACTGAATAATTTGATAGAACTTGAGGGTCTGATGCGGCAAGAGGACACATTTCTTCGGGGTCTAACTCAACTGGATCATATCTATTTTAAAAATATACAAAAATATAGAAACGACGACATTTTGAAATGTTTCAAATTACCTTAATTTAGCTTTAGCGACAGCTTTCAACCCTTGAGACCCAACCGGCAAGTAAGAATCTCTTTTCACCCAATTATAACAATCCATGTGCATAGCAGGCCGACTAGTAAACACACCTTCCTTAGTTTTAGCAAAACCAATCTCTTGTTTCATATCCAAATCATATTGCGCCGCTCTTGTCTCAACAAAGGGCCAATCAAAAAAGTCACCGTTATAAGTGACAAAAATATGTGGCCGTACTTCCATTATATGATCAAAAAACTTCTGCAGCAATGCCATCTCATTCTTTTCATTAAAAATTGTAAACTTTCCTTCAAACTCCGGCCGTGGTGTGTATTCAAAGTCTTCGATATCAGAAGATAAAATTTCCCTGTTTGTTATTAAATATCCTAAAAGTTTCATAAAATTTCAAGTTTTACTTTATACTGAATTATACTGAATGTTACCTTGCGCATCAATCATGTACGAAATCATCATAATTTGATCAGTGTTAGCATCCGGAAATTTCAAAGGCATTTTAGTGGTTTCAATATCAAATGCCAGGACAATTGGTTCAGGTCTTTCAATAAGATCACTACGAAGAGTTATAATCGGTGGATCCATACTGGCACCTTTTGGTTTGACTGAATACCATGAACCACAACAAATTTTTAAATCAATTGACACTCTTACATGATAAGGTACATCGTATTCTCTTGAATTTAACAAAATTAAATAAATATACTCAATATGTAATTGCTATTGCATACCTGATATCAATTAAACTTTCCATATGATCGGTTGAGCTTTTCTTTGCATCAAAAACAGTTTGCTCATTGTTCAAAACATTCACCAGCATATTAGTGTAAAAGTTATTGGACTGTGCACGTTCTTTATTCTTTTTTACACATTTCAAAATATCTTTGCGCGCTTTCATCAAGTCGGTTTGATTGAAAAACGACAACTTCAAATAGTGTTGTTTCAGGCCAATAAGGTGATTAGGCATGTCTAAATCCTCTTTAGCAACTGTTTCAATTTTGCCAATAACACCAGAAAACTTTTTCATGAGAAACTGAGTTACTTCTTGGATTAATTCTCTCCTGGTAAGTACGTAGAAGTATGGCATGAAAGGATAAGAGATTTTAAACCTAGTGCCATCTTCTTCCATGAAGTAATAGTCTACTGCAGCTATCAAACGTTTGTCTTCATCTAATATTTCAGACTAAAATATTTGAATGTATGTAATAAAACAATGAAATTTACATTTTTAAATTAAAACTTACAGTGTGCATATTTAGTAAAAACCCAATTCGTTCAATATGATCTTTGACACGTTCGAAACCGTATTTGGAATCGATTGAATCATTTTCAAGTACTATTCGCAAACGATATTCGGAAGTTTCCTCTCTGAGACAATAAATTAATCATAACATAAAAATAATTCAATTAATGATTAACTAAAAAATTATTAACAGAAAATAAGAGCAAAAGTACGCACAGTTGATGATGTTGATTAGGCAAATTATGCCCGCAAAGTTATGTATAAATTGCATCACAATACAGAAATACATATTACAACCAACAATGAAAATCAGTGTTTACATAAACATATTAAAAATGCAGAAAGTACAGAGCAATTGTTAAAGAAACGTATCAAATTAAATCAATACATATTGTGTATATTAAAATATCCGAAATTAATGTTGATACTTGGAAAACGCAATTGTTAATTAAAATTAATAAAGTTTTTTACCTTTGTCCAGCAGAGGCTGTTGGATTCTCATTTTTATCATCATTTCTGTCAATCTTTCTTTCAGGACGGTAACGTCCTGTGTTTGTAGCCATTATAATTTAACTGTTTTATATCATAGGTACATTACATAGAACCCAAAATAATTATTTCAAACCTCTATAAAAACAATTGCCAAACACACAAAACACCACAGAAAATTAATCTACATAACCTGTTGCTATAAACAGCGCACAAAAGTTAAAATAATTTTGACGAGGCGGGAAATATATTACAGCGTTGTCATTTGATAATTCTTCTTTCGTACATGCTCGTTTGTCTTCGAGTTCTTTCTTGCATAATTTAAATCACGGCATATGCGCATCCAGTTAAAATACTATAGCACAATTTAAACAATATAATATTTATATTGTTAAATTAATATTTAATGATATACTATACAAATTAAATTAAATAATATTACTGTTTTTAAAATTGACAACTGGTACAACACTGCAATTTTAAAGACGTCGCCATTTGAAACGTTCAAAAGCAAATGTTCAACTGTCTCGAGCGGGTCGTCTATAAATTTCTCGTTGCCGTTTACCTGTCGCATGTGCTACGTTACCTGTGCGCGTTCGCTACTTTTTTTTACGTTCTTCCGTTTTCCATGATCTAAATTTTTATCGATTACTATATTATAATATAGGAATAGTGTTTTTTATTATTAGATTATTGCTTTATTATTTATGAACAATTTAATGTTAATATTTGGCAAGTGAGAACGTAAGAACTGCATTCTTCGTCCATTTTCATATTGATAAGAATTAAAACAGTTATGTTTTTAATTTAGATGGCTGACAACAGCTGCGTGCAAGTAGCTCTTCGAATTCGTCCTCTGGTAGAGTCAGAAATAAAAAGAGGCTGCAAGAGTGCTTTAGAAGTATTTCAAGATCAGAAACAAGTACAGATATCTGATAAGGCATTTACTTATAATTATGTATTTGGCAGTGAAGCAACACAGGAGGAATTTTATAAACAGTCTGTGGAGAAACTTGTGCCAAATTTGTTTAAGGGCTACAATGTTACAATATTGGCTTATGGCCAGACAGGATCAGGTTTGTTCAAATATGAGTAATAATTAGAGAAAAGGTAGAGGGAAAATTTTATGATTGTTTCTTCTCAAAATAAGAAATTAAGAGTTAAATACTTGTACTATATGAATTTTACCTAGCATTAAAATTTTCAACTCATACTGTAATTGGGTCTATAAAATGATTATTTCTAAATTTATCTTTATTTTCCAAAGCCTAATTCACGTTTTAAATTTTATTATATTACTTTATATGATTTACTTTTATTCCGTAGGCAAGACACACACAATGGGGACGGCCTACAATGGCACTGGTGAGATGGGAATTATCCCTCGTGCCGTTCACGATATTTTTACTTTCATAAATGATAATTTCTCATACGATTTTAACGTGACCGTTTCCTTCATGGAACTTTACCAAGAGGTCCTATACGACTTGTTATCATCTAAACCTCGAGAGCAATGCGTGATGGAAATCAGGGAGGATGTGAATAAAAATATTTATATACCTGGTTTAACGGAGTTACAAACCAAGTCAGCGCAGGAGGTATTGGATTGTCTGGCGCAAGGTTCGAAGGGTCGCGCAACGTCTAGCACTAATATGAATTCACAAAGTTCCCGCAGTCATGCTATTTTTACAATAAATATAAGCATGACGACAAAAGGGAGCAACGAATGCAAAACTGCAAAGTTTCATTTAGTCGATCTGGCTGGTTCGGAACGACCGAAGAAAACAGGCGCGTCTGGACAGACTTTTAAAGAAGGCGTAAATATTAACAAAGGGTTGTTTGTTTTGGGAAATGTGATATCAGCTTTAGGTGATGAAAAAGGAGCACCGGCGTATGTAAATTTCAGAGAGAGTAATTTAACAAGATTATTAAAAGGTAAAAATTATTCTTTTAGTTTTAATTACGTGTTCTAAACGTTTTTTTTTTTTCATTGACAGATTCCCTTGGAGGAAATAGCATCACAATAATGGTGGTATGTGTAAGTCCAGCAGACTACAACGCAGAAGAAACGTTATCAACATTACGATATGCAGATCGTGCTCGTCGCATCAAAAATAAACCAGTTGTCAATGAAGATCCAAAAGCCGCTGAAATTAGCAAAATGCAGAAATTGATTCAACAGCTGAAGCTACAGATTAGCGCACAAGGCGGCCCCTCAATGACTAATGAAGATCTCACCAAACTGCAGACGGAAATCTGCAGCCTCAAGAACAAGTTACAACAAACTGTCTCGCACAACGTAGTTCTGAACCAACGCGTTATTCTGATGCAAGCTGCCAACGAAGGAATGGCTGAAAAGTTTGCAACACTGCAGGGTGAATACTCGACTACGATGCAGAACTTCAACATGAGTATGGAACAAAATGATATGGACGCCATGAAGAAACAAATGGCGCAATTGAAGACGATTGAAAATCACTTTTGCGACATTGATAACGAGTCAAAACGCAGCGAAGCTGAGATTAAGAATTTCGATTGCACGTTTGTGAAGGATACGGACACAGTGAATTACATCTCTGAAGAAGAAATTGATAAACAACAAGAATCACATATGAGCAAACAAATTGCGTTTAATGCACAAATTCAAAACATGAATATAGTACTGGCACAAAAACAAGATTTAGCTAAACAGCTTGCTTCCAATGCTTTGTATATGGTTGACTTGGAGGAGATGAATGATAATCAAAATAAGATCGCCGAACTAGAAAAAGAAAAGATAGAACTAATTCAACAGTTGAAGCAAGCGCAGACGCAGGGGGCGAGTGGAAAGATCGCTGAACAACGGAGGAAACGCGTTCAAGAATTGGAAGCGCAACTACATGAATTGAATCGTAAAGTAAGTATTTGTAATATTTGTAATATATTTGCAAATTATAAAGCATTAACAATAACTTTACAGGTTAATGAACAAGCCAGACTTATAAAACTCAAAGAAAAAGATGATCTGAAAATTAAAAAGCTAAACTCAGAAATCAACAGTATGAAAACTGAAAAAGTCAAACTGGTTAAAAACATGCGTGAGGAATCCGAACGTTTCCGAAAGTGGAAACTCGATCGCGAACGCGAATTGTCCAAATTACAAAACCAGGACCGAAAGCGTTTGAATCAAATGGAGAACATGAAGATGAAACACACACTACAGGAGAAGGTCTGGAAGCGAAAACTTGAGGAAGCAGCGTCAAGCGCTAAACGCTTGAAGGATGCCCTCGCTTTACGCAGGAACGTTCAAGATTCCAAATTAAAAGGTAAAGAGGAACGTCTCAAGCCGTGGGTGCAACAAGAATTGACCATTCACGCGAATACAGTAGTCGTGCAAAACACAATTAATACACTGGTCGATGATCGCAGTGCATTGCAAGAACAATTAGATAAATTAAAGGAAAATGAAACAGAGAACGAATCTGAGATTCAACGTCTTGAAGAGCAAGTTGATATGCGTAGCGCACAGTTGCAAGATTTGAATCAGAAGCTGATCGAAAGTAAAGATTTTGAACGCACCCGTACTGGTTTCGATAATGTTCAGACAATGGCCGATGCAAAGTACGTTTATCAAGTGATGTTTGACTTGACTGCTGATATCAAGAAAGCTGAGATTGAAAAGGAGCATAAATTGGATGAGGCGCATATAGAAATGGAGGAAATGAAACGTAAAATAATGGAACTTGAAACGAAAAATGCAGGTTTGGACCAAAAACACGCAGTGGCCTTATCTGAAGCGGAAAAAGAATATGAAGAGAAGACCCTGCTGCTATTGAAGCAACTACGCGGTGTACAAATGCAAGGAATCGATGAACAAACTCAACATCGTATCCAAGCGCAAGAAGAAATGATTGTAAAACTTGAGTTAGTTGTTGAATCTTTGCAAACCGATAAAGACGCTTTGCTTCAAGCATTGGAAGAGCAAACGATTGCGATGGCATCAAGAGATGTGCCTGTGGCAGTCACACCACCTATGAAGAAAAAGCGCTCTGCTAGCATCCAAGATAAAGTGGATAACGTTAAGTTCCTTATGCCTTCTGCATTCGACGAATCGTTTAATATGAGCATTGAGGACGACACTAGCAACGACCCAGATTGGCGTAGGACACCGTTGGGCAAACAGGTGCGCGCTTTACGCGATTCCAGCATACGTGTACCCCTGAAAAGGAACCACAGCGGAGGTTGCGGGTGTCGTCGAAATTGTCAACGCAATTGCCCCTGCAAGAAGGGTAATAATTCATGTTCATCCCATTGCAACTGCGTGGCAGAGACATGTGCAAATCGCGTAGAGAAGATTCAAAATGTCCCATCAACAAAAATAAATTTTGAGTAACTACTTGCTGAATAACTGTTTCTGTGAGGCAGTGCTTAATAATATGATAATATGATTATGATTAGTCTATAGTGAGGGATATTTTTATATACAATATTTACAGCAGTTTTTTATGAGACAGTACAAACACGTTCCCTTCGGAGGTTACCTTTGAAAGAGCGACATATAGCTGGTCTTGTGAGAAAATGGCTGCAATGTTGAATGCTTGACCCTGTGATTTATTAATGGTCATTGCAAAAGAAATTGTATGCGTTTAAATTGGAACGGGAAATCCGATGGTATTTGAGGTATCCAGGAAATTACATCTTCTCCAGTACCAGTCTATTGTAAAAGTTCTAAGGGACTATCAGCAATCACGTACCGTTACATAATTTAGGCAGATTAAGGTTCCTCAATAAAATAACAGGACAACCTATATTCAACACCATTTTGTGCGGAGGGAGTTCAGACAGGTTTAATGAATTAAAAAATTCTATGGAAAAATATACACAAGTAATATACTTTCGTCGGTGCATCAATCAATGAAATAGTTACAACAAGTCTTACAATTTATGTTGTCCATGTCAGGATAGATACTGTTGACCAACTTATGAATATTATTTAATAAAATACAAAGGATTTATTACTTTTACCACTAGATTCGACTTTGGTCAAAAGCAAATTAATTAAAAATGTTTTCCCTGTTTTCCTAAATTCCTCTCAATTGATTGACTGTTGTGGGAATGAATCACATGGGGGAAAAGCATATACTGCAGTGTCTTGCTTTCTTCGTTGTCCTAGTCTTATTCTGTTCAGTAACGATACCTGCAAGTGCATATGTCGCAAATCACGTTTCCACCATTCTAGCGTACCTACATATGCCAACACGGCGGGCCAAATTTGCGAAACTAGCTTATAAGTTTTAAAAAATTTTAAATTAATGATTCTATTCACTATATCGTATCTGCTTGAGGAGTCAAGCTAGTGTTACCGATGCTGTTGATGTTTTCATTTGCCCCTAAAATAGCCAGAAGATGAATGTAATTTTCTGCTTTCAATTTAGTTTGGTTATTACGAATGTAAGCTAATGGCTCAAATTCAGTTTTCGCGTATTGATCGACAAAATATTGGTTTGTTAACATTTGATATCTAAGTAAATGGTTGAAATTGTTATGACATGCCATCATACGGTAGCTATAGTAATTCATGCAAGACACCATTTTATGTAGAAGTAATCCACTAATTGGATCAACTCAATATTAAATGCACATCCCTCTTCCCCACGATATAGCATTATAGAACATTGTAAGCTGTCGTAAGATCTGTGAAATTCTGAAATTTTTTGCAAATTGTTACAATATCTCTTTTAACAAATTGCTGTGCAGTTATCACCACAGACTTCACTCGTGGATAGCGCATTATGTCGTTGCCTGTGTTCTCCAATAAGAATTTTATTAGCATGAATTACGACATAAATGTCGAGAGTGCCTAGTGGAAAACTCTCAATGGCAATTTTGAAAGACTTTATGTAGCGGTTATGAGAGTGTAACGAATTTGTAAGGATCTAACTAAATCTCTATCAATTGGCTGTACTACCCTTGAACACCGCGTTGATGTTTGTGTTTCTGCATCCGAGATAAAATATATTTGTAGAAAGATCAGGCCGAAGTGGTAGTAAGCTCTCAGCTAAATGATTTTCTTGTATTGTAAATGTCAGATATTTGTAGCGATTACTAGCACTACATAATTATTTAAAACCACTTTAAAAAACAAATGCCACACAAAATAAACGAATCAACTTTTAAATTGAAACTTTATAATGGCATGTAATTAAACAAACTTTATTTTTTCGATTTTTAACTTGTCATATAATTAAAGAACTGAACTTAAAATAAATATTTGCACTTTGAAAAATGAAACTTGAATAAAATGCTTTGCACTATGAAATTAATACATTGCACTTATAAAACTTGCAGGCCTTCTATCACCCCGGCCCTCAAATAATACCAAACAGGTAGCCTACCTACAAATTATAAAGTTTCAATTTAAAAAGTTGATTCAAAGCAAATTTAAGTACTGAATATAAATGCATTGTATTAAAATATAAGTTATACAACTAGTCGTGCAAAGTACAAGTGGATTGTATTTTAACTAAAGTGCATTTAATTTAAAAAATATTTTGACGAGGCGGGAATCATATTACAGCGTTGCCGTTTGGCAATACCGAACTTCTTTCGTAAATGCTCGTTTGCTCCCGAGTTCATCCTTGCGTAGTTAAAATCACTGAATACACTCAGCAAGTAGAACTAATATAATGTAATTAAAATAATATAATTAATAATGTAATTAAATTAATATACCATAAATTATTTATTAATTCAAATTATACGAGTACAATATTATTGTTTTTAAAAATGACAACTAAAAGTGCAACACTGCAATTTTCCAGATGTCGCTATTTGAAACGTTGAAAAGCAAACGGTCAACTGTCCCGAGCGGGTCGTCTATAAATTTCTCGTCGGCATTTACTTGTCGTATGTGTTTCGCGCGCGTTCTATGCTTTTATTTTCCACGTTTTTTCGAGTTTTCCAAGTCCTAAATTTTTAAAGATAATTTAGGAAGAGTGTTATTTGATATTATATTATTGCTATACGATATCTAAACAATTTAATATCAATATTTGACAAGTGAAAACGTAAGTAGTGTTTCTCTATTATTACGGGTTTAAACAATAATTGCCAAAGTAAACGCTCTGCCTTCACAATGTATCGTTGTTAAACGAAACCATTGCAGATCAATGCAAGTGTTTGTCAAACCTGATATGGATAGTTATTTCGATCATTAAAGGTCTCGTTAGCACCCCTATTGGTTTAACAAACATCTGCACTGACTCGCTTTTCCGAGAATTAAAACAATTATATTTTCAATTTAGATGGCTGATAATAGCTGTGTGCAAGTAGCGCTTCGAATTCGTCCTCTGGTAGAGTCTGAAATTAAAAGAGGCTGCAAGAGTGCTTTGGAAGTATTTCAAGATCAGAAACAAGTGCAAATATCTGATAAGGCATTTACTTACAACTATGTATTTGGCAGTGAAGCAACCCAGGAGGAATTTTATAAACAGTCTGTGGAGAAACTTGTGCCGAATTTATTTAAGGGTTACAATGTTACAATATTGGCTTATGGCCAGACAGGTTCAGGTATGTTTAGATGAATAATAATTAGAGAAAAGAGGGAAAATTTTATGATAATCTCTAAGTCTAAAAGTTAAATACCTGCACTTTAGGGGTGTGAATTTTACCTGACACTAAAATGTTCAACACATACTGTAATTGGGTCTATAAAATGATTATTTTTAAATTTCTCTTATTTTCAAAAGCCTAATTCATGCTTTAAATTTTATTATATTACTTTATATGATTTACTTTTATTCCGTAGGCAAGACACACACAATGGGGACGGCCTACAATGGCACTGGTGAGATGGGAATTATCCCTCGTGCCGTTCACGATATTTTTACTTTCATAAATGATAATTTCTCATACGATTTTAACGTGACCGTTTCCTTCATGGAACTTTACCAAGAGGTCCTATACGACTTGTTATCATCTAAACCTCGAGAGCAATGCGTGATGGAAATCAGGGAGGATGTGAATAAAAATATTTACATACCTGGTTTAACGGAGTTACAAACCAAGTCAGCGCAGGAGGTATTGGATTGTCTGGCGCAAGGTTCGAAGGGTCGCGCAACGTCCAGCACTAATATGAATTCACAAAGTTCCCGCAGTCATGCTATTTTTACAATAAATATAAGCATGACGACAAAAGGGAGCAACGAATGCAAAACTGCAAAGTTTCATTTGGTCGATCTGGCTGGTTCGGAACGACCGAAGAAAACAGGCGCGTCTGGACAGACTTTTAAAGAAGGCGTAAATATTAACAAAGGGTTGTTTGTTTTGGGAAATGTGATATCAGCTTTAGGTGATGAAAAAGGCGCACCGGCGTATGTAAATTTCAGAGAGAGTAATTTAACAAGATTATTAAAAGGTAAAAATTATTCTTTTAGTTTTAATTACGTGTTCTAAACGTTTTTTTTTTTTTTTCATTGACAGATTCCCTTGGAGGAAATAGCATCACAATAATGGTGGTATGTGTAAGTCCAGCAGACTACAACGCAGAAGAAACGTTGTCAACATTACGATACGCAGATCGTGCTCGTCGCATCAAAAATAAACCAGTTGTCAATGAAGATCCAAAAGCCGCTGAAATTAGCAAAATGCAGAAACTGATTCAACAGCTAAAGCTACAGATTAGCGCACAAGGCGGCCCTTCAATGTCACATGAAGATCTCACTAAACTGCAGACGGAAATCTGCAGCCTCAAGAACAAGTTACAACAAACTGTCTCGCACAACGTAGTTCTGAACCAACGCGTTATTCTGATGCAAGCCGCCAACGAAGGAATGGCTGAAAAGTTTGCAACACTGCAGGGTGAATATTCCACTACAATGCAGAACTTCAATATGAGCATGGAACAAAATGATATGGACGCCATAAAGAAACAAATGGTGCAATTGAAAACAATTGAAAATCACTTTTGCGACATTGATAACGAGTCAAAACGCAGCGAGGCTGAGATTAAGAATTTCGATTGCACCTTTGTGAAGGATACGGATACAGTGAATTACATCACTGAAGAAGAAATTGATAAACAACAAGAATCACATATGAGCAAACAAATTGCGTTTAATGCACAAATTCAAAACATGAATATAGTACTGGCACAAAAACAAGATTTAGCTAAACAGATTGCTTCCAATGCTTTGTATATGGTTGACTTGGAGGAGATGAATGATAATCAAAATAAGATCGCCGAACTAGAGAAAGAAAAGACAGAATTAATGCAACAGTTGAAGCAAGCGCAGACGCAAGGGGCGAGTGGAAAGATCGCTGAACAACGGAGGAAACGCGTTCAAGAATTGGAAGCGCAACTACATGAATTGAATCGTAAAGTAAGTATTTGTAATATAATATATTTGCAAATTATAATACATTAACAATAATTGTACTTAAAATTACAGGTTAATGAACAGGCCCGACTTATAAAACTCAAAGAAAAAGATGATCTGAAAATTAAAAAGCTCAACTCAGAAATCAACAGCATGAAAACTGAAAAAGTCAAACTGGTTAAAAACATGCGTGAAGAATCAGAACGTTTCCGAAAATGGAAAATCAATCGCGAACGCGAATTGTCCAAATTACAAAACCAGGACCGAAAGCGTTTAAATCAAATGGAGAACATGAAGATGAAACACACACTACAGGAGAAGGTCTGGAAGCGGAAACTGGAGGAAGCAGCGTCAAGCGCTAAACGCTTGAAGGATGCCCTCGCTTTACGCAAGAACGTTCAAGATTCCAAATTAAAAGGTAAAGTGGAACGTCTCAAGCCGTGGGTGCAACAAGAATTGGCCATTCATGCAAACACAGTTGTTGTACAAGAATCAATTAAAGCACTGGTCGATGATCGTAGTGCATTTCAAGAACAATTAGATATATTAAAGGAAAATGAAGCGGAGAACGAAGCTGAGATCCAACGTCTTGAAGAACAAGTTGATATGCGTAGCGCGCAGTTGCAAGATTTGAATCAGAAGTTGATCGAAAGTAAAGATTTTGAACGCAGTCGTACTGGTTTTGATAATGTTCAGACGATGGCCGATGCAAAGTACGTTTTTCAAGTGATGTTTGACTTGACTGCTGATATCAAGAAAGCTGAGATTGAAAAGGAGCATAAATTGGATGAGGCGCATATAGAAATGGAGGAAATGAAACGTAAAATATTGGAACTTGAAACGAAAAATGCTGTATTGGAACAGAAACACGCTGTGGCCATATCTGAAGCGGAAAAGGAATATGAAGAGAAGACCCTGCTGCTATTGAAGCAACTACGCGGTGTACAGATGCATGGAATCGATGAACAAACTCAACATCGTATCCAAGCGCAAGAAGAAATGATTGTAAAACTTGAGTTAGTTGTTGAATCTTTGCAAACCGATAAAGATGCTTTGCTTCAAGCATTGGAAAAGCAAACGATCGCGGGGGCACCGAGTGATCTTCCTTTGGCAGTCACACCACCTAAGAAGAAAAAGCGCTCTGCTAGCAACCAAGAAAAAGAGAATAAAGTTCAGCTGCCTTCTGCATTCGACGAATCATTTAATATTAGTTTTGAGGACGACACTTGCAACGATCCTGATTGGCGTAAGACACCGTTGGGCAAACAGGTGCGCGCTTTGCGCGATTCGACCATACGTGTACCGCTGAAAAGAAGCCACAGCGGAGGTTGCGGTTGTCGTCGAAATTGTCAACGTAATTGCCCCTGTAAGAAGGTTAATAATTCATGTTCATCCCTTTGCAATTGCGTGGCTAGCACTTGCGTCAATCGCACAGACAAGGTTGAAAATGGCACATCAACACAAGTAATTTATGAATAATATTCGCTAAATCAGTGTATTTATATAATGCGGTAAATTGCAGGAAACTGAGCAAGATAATTCGGTCAATAATTTAAAGTTTGACAGTCAAAATGGGTCGTTTAAGAAGCCCAGGTAAGAGACAGATGTGTTGTTGTGTGACGAGTAATGTCCGTTTTATTATTGTAATTTATAGTGGCGACGATAATGAATTTGAGTATTGCATGCGCGTCAAGAAACTCGGGTGTAATTCGTCCGCTTGATATAGCGACGGCAATTGTTCGTTGTGGACTTACATATATGTTTATATTAATTTATTGTTGGTGACTGGTGATTGTTCCTGTTATATGTACTTGTTAAGTAGTAATTGTAATAACACGCCACTTAGCGATTGATTTTCGCTATTACGATACACTAATAAATTTAACTTTGATACACAAGTTTGGAATTAGTTTATGCAGGCAGAAACACATGTTCTGTTAAAAGGATCCACCTAATAGTCCGATAATACGACCCACCGCGTTTTTTTTTTTTTTTTTCATTAAAAATGTTCAATATCACAGATAACATTTAACTACTCTTGTTTTCTGCATAATCTTTGGTTTTCTTTTCACTTATTGCACATTGTTCTTAATTTGTTGTCTGTGTTGTGCACAATGTATACCAAAAGTTAAAATTGTCAAAATGACAATTCAATTTTTCACTTCCAACAAAGTAAACATTTATTTACATAGCATAGAATGTGTAAATTAATAATCTTATTCCTCATGCTAACTGGAGATTAGCTGCCGAAGCAAACAACTATGCACCTCGACGTGGGTAGGTTTGAACATTATGCTTTTTAAGCTTCCCGGAAGGTGATTCGTTAATGAATTATATTTGATATATAAAAAATAATTTTTATTATAGGACACTACTGATTACTTACGATTAAAACATCAATTTAATGTTTAAGCAATATAGTAATTACTTCTGCATTGCTTTTAACAGATCCATAATAAACGTGCCCAACTCTTCGTCCTGATTCGTCCATGACACATAAACATTCTTCACTTCCTCATCTTCACGCTCCACTCTTATTAAAATAGACTCTATTGTAATACTATCCTCAGCTAGAATAACATCCCATTGTGGTAATTTTTCCTTAAACAATTCATACAATTTTCCTGTTGTTGAAACCGCCGGTCCACTGTCCCTCAGCTTCACTTTCGATGTGAATCGAATCGTATGACGATTTACTCCAGCTTCCTTGCATGCTTCATCCACATCCATCATACAAATATTTGTATTCTTTATAACAACCACGCCGTGTAGAGTACGCCGCCGTTTTGGATCCGGTGGCAACAAACTGTACTTTCGCGATTCTGCCTTCAGCAATGGCAGCGAGACATCAATCGGAATTTTTAACGGGGTGTGCAGTGTATGTGTTTCGCCATTCGCTGGATTGAAACAATCGATGTTAAACTCCTGTTTGATTTTCTCCTTGAGAAATTCCATTTTTTCAGCTTCGCCATGAACTAGCATTACATTTTTCGGTTCGCAATATTGTATTAATTGCATAATACCTTTAGCGTCCGCATGCGCAGAAAACGACATATATTCAACAGCCATTTTGACTTCAACAACTTGCCGATTCTCAAATTCGATTTTTTTCGCTCCATTTAACACCTGATTACCGACAGTGCCTTGTACACAGAATCCTGGCATAATTACCATGTTATTTTCATTGGGTGCCCACTTCTTGAATATCTGCAGGCTTAAACCAGCATGAAGCATTCCCGGCGTTGCAAACACCACCATTGGCCCAGGATTATCAATAAACGACCTATCAAAAGGTTTGATATGTTTAAATTCAAACATATTTCGTTGTACAAATGTTTTACGAATCTTTTGATTCGTCCATGTGATAAACATTTTGTAATAACTGTTAGCTTTGTCAGTTAAACCAAGTGCAAAGTAAACAGGTGCTTTCAGATTCATCCTCTCCCAGTAAGTTTCTAATAAAATACAGAGTTCTTGTGCTCTGCCCAAGGCAAACACAGGAATCAACACCTTGCCACCCTTATCTACACATTCATGTATCTTCTTTAAGAAATCCCTCTCCCTGCACCTTTTTGAATCTCTGATTGTAGTTGCATAGGTTGATTCAGTGATTAGTAAGTCCGGTCTGCATTTATCAATCCATGCAGCCCCTAAATGTCTGTCAGGAGTCATGTTATAATCGCCAGTATATACCACAGATTGTGTTCCAACTCTCACCCAAAACATTGCAGCACCCAATACATGCCCAGCATAATATGCTTTTATTTCGATATCATTATCCACCATTACTGATTGATGAAGGGTTACAGCAATCACTTTTTTCATGCAATCTTTTATCATCTGTGAGGTGAAAAAGTTCTGCTCACCTTTGCGTTCTACGGACACCTTACGCATATCTTCAAGTAAAAGTGGTGCAATTGCTTTGGTTGGATGTGTCATATAAATAGGGCCATCATAACCAACCATTTCGGTCATAAAAGGTAAAGCACCGCAATGATCAAGATGAAAATGCGATATTATGACACAATCTATGTGTTCACTAAGAGGACCATTAGGTGTTATGTAGTTAAAGTCGGGAAAACGGCGCTCGTCTTGATATCCCATGTGCATACCACAATCCAGCATTATGTTTTTACCACCCATTGAAAGTAGAATACAGCTGCGGCCTACATCTTGACCGGCACCCAGTGGAGTAATTTTTATTTCTAGCGAATTTGCAGGGTTTTTAAACACGTTCATTATGGCTTTCTTTTGTATGAGACGACCGGCGACTTTTTAAATGTTTGTAATCATAAACGCCGAAGACTTTTAGGTTATGTTGGCAAATAGGTTGGAAGAATATAATAGGGGGCGACGTGGTTGAGATGAAGATTTAAAATTTGAATAACACGCGAGCAAGTGAAATGTTATACTCTACGCTGCATATATTTTATAATAATAATACTTGTAATTAAAATTATGGATTTTATGAAACTGAATTGAATGAACGAATTAAGTGCAGTAATTTGAACTCTTTGTGGTACGCCCAAGACATAAACCACAGCATCAGCAATATCTTGGCTTTCCAACCGCGGTATCTAAGCATGTCTTTCCCTCAATTTTTTAGGTATAGGGGAGAGCAGGTAGGATTCGTACAGTAGGAGCATTCGTACAGTCCTTATTCCTACCACTGTAGAATACTTTGACAGGTCTGTGTTTGTGTGCGTGAGACCCACTCGCACGCATAGGTTACTCGCGGGGTGAGACGTCAGTGCAGCCGCCGGCTTCGACGCAACGAGTCGTAACGTGATTTCGCGCCAAGTAAGTATTTTTTGGTTATGTTTTTAAACATCTTTGTTTATTCACGCTTTATTCCTATTGTAAAAGTGAATGTACACAGTTTGTGAAGGAATAACTTAGTTTAGCATGTAAATATAGATTTTGGCCCAGTTTCAGCGGTTATTTTTATTTTCGATATTAATTGTTTTTGGTGTTGGGGAACCTTCGTACAGGTAGGGTGGGGTAGATTCGTACGTGTACGAATGCTCCCGTGCCTGACTGGACATTTAAAGGTATCTATTTTTCAGTAAAATCTAATATTGTTACAGAACCATGCCGCGAATATATATTAAAAAGGGACGAGGACGGGAGAGGTAGATGAAGGTGCAATAGAATCGGCGATAAAAGAAGTTTTGGATAAGACATTATCTATTAGAAAATCTGCACAAAAATATGGCGTCAAACCAACAACACTCGAAAGTCGTCTGAAAAAGTTTCATCAACAAGAAGCTGCCGAAAATATGCCTACCCGTGCGTTCACTTCCAAGTTTACGTCAAATCAGGTGTTTTCAACTGAGGAGGAAGCCCTTTTAAACAATTACATTATTGAATGCTCCAAAATGCACTACGGTCTGACGATCATCCAGGTCAGAAAATTGGCATATGAGTTTGCAAAAGCCAATCAGCTTAATTTTCATCCGAGTTGGCATCATAATAAAATGGCTGGTAAAGAATGGTTGGATAGTTTCCGCAGGCGAAACGGAAACCTGAGTCTTAGAAAGCCTGAAAATACCAGCATATTTTGAATCCTTTACTGGTAAAAATATCACTCATGCCTTTGAGAAGGCCGGAATATGGCCTTTTAATAGGTTAGCTTTTGGCGACGATGATTTTGCACCTGTGAATGTATACTATTCTAGTTCAACCCAAGATGCTCAAACGAACCCACAAGCTTCAACTTCTTCACAACCACAAGCGTTACAATCCACGCAAGATAAGCAATCAAGTTCTGTAGCCGTTCAAGATTACGATGTGCCAGAGACCATACCAGCAGACCCCATACAGACAGAGTTTATTCAACAAAACCTTCCAAGTTGTTCATCATCTGTGTCTCCATCTTTGCTATCACCTACAACAGTAACAGATTGCTCACCAGCTGTGGGGTTGATCACCCCAGAGTTAGTCAGGCCATATCCTAGAGTGGACAGAGATTCAATAAAGAAAACAAGGAAAGGAAAGCTACCAGGCAAATCTAGAATTTACACTGATACTCCGGAAAAAGATAGACTGGCAGAAATAGAAAAAGGAAGACTATTGAAGAAGCAAGTGCAAGAGAAAAAACAAAAAGCTAAGGCCATCAAAGCTCTACATCTTGTCTTAGATGCAGATAACGCATCTTCAATAAAGAGGAAATCTCAATCGAAAGAGTCATTTAATTTAAAGAAGCAAAAGAAAACTACAAAGACTGATAATGAAGCAAATGCATATTATATGATACCTATGAATACCTAAATAATATATCTTGGTTCTTAATACAAAAATGCTGATTCTGTGTTAAATTGATCTCAATAAATGATTAAATTTAATCAACAATTGTTTATTTTCTTTGACTGTATGAAGGTACCCCATCATGTACGAAAGTACCCCACACTATGCACGAAGGTACCCCGTGTGTGGGGTACTTTCGTACGATTTCCATTTTTTGGAAAACTGATCATAATTCTGTCTGTGTGATTTGTGACGGAGCTGTACCATACTATAATTATAGGCAGATATATAGGCTATATAGGGACATTAAACTTATTCGAATATATTATATAGTTTAGTTTTAATATGGCGTCAAGTAAAAAATGTACGAATCCTACCTGCTCTCCCCTACCTCCAACAGCATCATGTAATTCAGTGCTGACTGCACCGGGGCTAATACTACTGACTTTGATGTTAGTCTTCTGCGCAATCATCTCTTGACTGAACATCTCTGTGAGATTAGTGACAGCGTGTTTTGGCGCACCATACACTACACCAGTAGAAAAATAAATATGCGATTGCCCCGCAATAATGAATAATATGACCTTCAATATAGTATTCTTTCATTATTTTGGTAGTTTCTCTAGTAGCAATGCACAGGCTAAGTACTTTGGTCTCCAAAATTTTCCGCCAATCTTCTGGGGCACCTTCAAAGAGGTTTGACTTAGAAATAACACCAGCGTTGTTCACAAGTACTTCGACGTTACCGATGTTCTCGAGTTTAGATTTGCACTAATTGACAAGTTTTATATCAATGGTATTACATTTTTGCTGACAGAATTTTGAGGAAACAAATCATAACTATTTTGAAATATTTATTTATAAAATTTTATGTGATTTTATTGGATTTTACAATTTTAATGTTTCAGTTTATAAACAGTTTATGAAGAGGCGAAACATGTTAACTCAACATTTAAAATTGTAAAATCCAATAAAATCACGTAAAATTTTATAAATAAATATTTCAAAATATTACAATGGATTACGTATTCACAAGTGAAAGTAATAAAATCAAAACTAAACATCCAATTTTGCAGCATAGCTGTTAATAATACCTTTTTATTTATTAATATTTGCTCAACAAGCCTAACTTACTCTATTAAACATCAATTTATCCTCCATTTTGTATGGGCTCTGCCTTAAAAATACCCCCAGTATGTTAGGAATACAAGCCAAAATAATGGCGCGGAGGGCATCACTATCGCGTCAAGAAAATTACCAAAAAAAAAAAAAATTAAAACTACATTTATTCATGCATTTATTTTGTTATATCAAACATAATGATTTAAGAGCGTAAATTCAGTGGGGTGAATTGAGTGGTCGAATAGTAAGTTCATTAATTTGAACTCTTTGAGGTACGCCCAAAACATAAATCACAGCATCAGCAATATCCTCGCATTCCAAGGGTGGCATCTTAGAAAGTCTTTCGACCATTGCCTCATTCATACCTCCAGCAGCATCGTGTATTTCAGTCCTGACTGCACCGGGACTAATACTACTGACTTTAATGTTCGTTTTCTGTGCGACCATTTCTTGTCTGAAGATCTCTGTGATATTAGTGACTGCATGCTTAGATGCACCATACACTCCAGCAGTCGGGAAATAAATGTGCGATATCCCAGTAATACTGTTGATATGAATAATATGTCCTTCGGTTTTGTTTGCTTTCATATTCTTGGTAGCTTCCCTGGTAGCAACACACAGGCCAAGTACATTGGTTTCAAGAATTTTACGCCAATCTTCTGTTGCGCCTTCAGAGAGGTTGGATTGAGAGATAACACCTGCATTGTTTACAAGAACCTGGACGTTTCCAACGTTTTTGGTTGTCCATTCAAAAGCTTTTACAATGTCATCTTCAACGCGCATGTCACATTGAACAGCGTGGAGTTTTCCTTTGGCACTTTCCTTGGAAAGTTTTTGAGCGAGAGTTTGAACACGTTCAACACGACGAGCCAAACCAACAACCTGTATGGATAGAATATAGAAATACAAAATTAGCAATTGTTTATAGGTAGGTACCAGTAAAAACCTAAGAAGTTCTTATTTTTTACCAACATGCCAGCTTTGGTCAGACTATCAACAATAGCTTCACCGATTCCAGCACTTGCGCCGGTCACAATCGCGACTTTACCCGCGTAGCGTTGCATGGTTTAGAAAACTGATTTGTTTCGCGTTTTAGGTCACACTAATAAACAAGGTAATAATAGACTAGTATTTATATCAAATATAATCGGATAATCGGTGTGCACGTTTAGATGACTGGCAATATGGTGACAAAATTACACGTATTCCATATATAGTAATAAATTGATTGATTATATTATAAGGCCAAAAAATTGTTTTTAATTGCCTGTGGAAAGCTTACGGCAATTTCCACAATTACAACATATTGTGCAATTCCCGTGACAAAGCAATTGTAAAGGCAAAACGAATAGTTACTAGAAATGTTCTATGATAATGAAAATACAGACATTCACTACTGCGGACATATTTCAACCTGTAGAGCAGATAGATGCAGAGATGCTGAAGATCCAAGCTAGCATTTTGATTGTATTTTAATGCATAAAACATGCAAAGATGTGCGAATAAATAGGGTAAAAGAGGGTAATGGGGGTCACTTAAGGGAGAACTCAAATATAATTTAAATTATAAACAAAATACTTATTGCAATCGCTTATAAGCATTGTTTACTTAAATACCTATTATTTGAAATAATTTTCAGTCACTTTGACAATCAATTTTGGATATTATTAAAGTTTAAAAAAAAACAGATTTGACTCCCATTACACCGACATGCGGGTAATGGTGGTCACCCTGGAGACAATCGGAATCAAACGAAATCTAGCAGATATCGCAGACATAATATTCCGCAAAGTCCCACCCAGTGCATTTCACATGAGCCCATAGCCCACATGAAGTGCATCTGAACCACATTTAATTGTTTTTTAAATCGTTGCACATTAGACATCAGTTTTCCAAATCTTCATCCTCATCGCCCTGGCATAAGTCATCAGTGCCAATATTGGAATCATAAGTTTTGTTACTTTCCTGCAGTATCGTTTCTGCAAGAAGGCTATTGAAAAATAAGTCACATTGCTTTTTATAGGCCATTTAGAGCGGACTAAAGACAAAAACGTCCATTGGGAGTCGCATGACTCCCATTGCCCACAATTGCACTATTGTGAAAAAAAAACAAAAAATATTTCTTCAAAACATTAATGTAATCTGAACTGCACATCACGATTTTGAATGTTTAACTAAGACTATATAAAAGTTTCATTCGAATATTGCAAGATATTCGACACTTATCTTCTAATTTGCGTGGACGTAAAATTAGATCAGCGGAGCTCAAAAATAAAATATTGGCGTATCTCAATGATACACGCACCGATTTGCATGATTTGTCGGGGGTGGCACTGGGGGGCCAGAACGGAGGTAGGAACGCCGTTTACGCGTTACTCGTAACTATTGTTTCGTGGATATATGGGTGACTCCCATTACCCGCTGACTCCCATTACCCTACTCTCCCTACATATTTACCGGATCCATTATTTCGGTCTTAACAGCGCCTGGACTAATACTGGTGACTTTAATGTTTGTTTTCTGTGCAACCATCTCCTGCCTCAAAATCTCCGTAAGATTAGTAACGGCATGTTTGGAAGCACCATACACACTAATTGTAGGCATGAACAGATGACTTTGACCAGCAATACTATTAATATGAATAATATGACCTTCAATTTTGTTTGCTTTCATTATTTTGGTAGCTTCTCTGGTGGCAATGCACAGACCAAGCACATTGGTTTCCAAAATTTTTCGCCAATCTTCAGTAGCACCTTCGGAAAGATTGGAATGTGCGATTACTCCAGCGTTGTTAACAAGAACCTGAACATTTCCGACGTTCTTGGTTGTCCATTCAAAAGCTTTTACTACGTCATCTTCAACGCGCATGTCACACTTAACAGCGTATAGTTTTCCTTTAGCACCATCTTTGGCAAGTTTGTCAGCAAGATTTTGCACACGTTCGACACGACGAGCCAAACCAACAACCTATAGTTTAATTACAAAGTAAATATTTAACAATTATGCAAATTTAATATATTCATACCTTCATGCCAGCTTTGGTTAAACTATCAACGATAGCTTCACCAATGCCGGAACTCGCGCCGGTTACAATCGCAACTTTACCCACGTAACGTTCCATGATAAATTGGCAGATTTTATTATATTTGTTAAATAGGTACGTCTGAACTGGATGGGAGCAATAATGCAACTAACGAGAATGGTGTGGCAATGTGTTTATATATGGCAGTTACGTGATATGTAATTAGAATACTAATCGCGCGCACATAATACTAGAAGGTATGTTGTTCATATCATGATGATTTGCAAAATTTGTTTATTTTTCTTTCTGGATGCTTAATCAATTTTTAGCAACTCATCTAAAGATGATGCAATATGTGCAGTTAAAGTGAGAATAATTCTTCAATGACCAATTTGTTTGATACACTTTGTAAACTTAATGACAATTTAATTGGAGAAACAAATAATTGAACTCTTCCCGTGACCTTCACTGTACTAGCGGTCATGTTGTTGATGTTTAATTTTGCAGCTGTATATTATTACACAACTATTACCAACGTTAAATTATTCCGCAAGTGTCAATAGTATAAGTTTTCAACTATTTATAGATAATACTATATTTTTATCATTTTTCGATTCACTGGTTTATCTTGCTCGTATTCACTTAAATTGCAATAAATTTTGCAATTGACTTAATTGACTTTTTAGGGTTTTGAAGCAAACGTGCTAAAGCAACTAAACACTTGTAAAATATACTATTTTTAATTTCTAATGTAACTAAACCAAGCGTATATCAGTAATTTGCAGTATATAACAATGTTTTTCAACAACACGTTGATTTTTGAGCATAAATCCGCGTTCAAAAGTGAAAAATAACAAAACATTTACCGTTTTTAAGGATTAACGTAATTGACTTCAATTTTTACAAGATAGCAGGCATTTATAAAACACTTCAAATTAAAATTATAAGTACAGAATAAAAAAATTAAACCGTTAGAATTTTATAATAAAAATGTTATAATAAATAAATATACTTTTTATATTAAATCTGTATCTTAAGACAATTAAGTTAATCAAAAATTCACTATCTGTAATTTCTCATATAATTAAAGTAAGTTGTGCTGTATGGGATATCGTTAGTAAGTCAATAACTTATCATACATTTTAATTGAATCTATATATATAAAAATGAAACGCGTTTCGCGTGGTCAAGCCATCACATGAAAACGGCTAGACCGATTTGGCTGATTTTTTTTTTGCAGTTTTCAAATACTCTATAGAAGGTTCTTACGGAAAAAAATATTAGGAAAATATCTCGGAAAGATTGAAAAAAAAATAAAACCCGTTTCCCGTTGTCGCGCCATCTATGTGTGAGATTTCAGAACGCATATATAAACTTCACATGACTTACATAGTAATCTGTGGTAATTTGTGACATACCCGCCGCGCCAACAATAAGGTTATTGAAATACAATGGTAGGTAGTTAGGTAGTAAGGTTATTAAAGTTTTTGACACACAGGTTTTTGTTTGAAAAAGGAAAGTCGCTTTCTCTGTCTGTCCCTTTGTATGCTTAAATCATTGAAACTACGCAACGGAATTTGATGCGGTTTTTTACTTCCGTGCGAAGCCGTGGCGGGTCGCTAGCGATGTGACTGGCAGAGAATGCCTTACGGCATTAAGTACGCCTTTTGTACAATATTATTTTTTTGTGTAATAAAAAATAAATAAGGCGGTACGAAGTTCGCCAGGTCAGCTAGTATCTTTATAAGTAATAAAACCTACAAATTTAACTTATTGATTTTTTATGACAGCGAATATAAATACACGAATACTTTTGTTCAAAGCCCAATTTAGTAAAAAGACCCTGTGATGCTAAATTCATGCTTCCAATTGTACCGATCGGATGGTCACCATTTTTTCCTATAATTCTTGCGGCTTTCCGCGTTAATGCCGCCCCAAAACCGTTCTTAAAGTAACCCTCTCTCGTCTGCAGTACTCCCAATTGTCCCAATACGTTGATCAATACCCATGAGACCAATTCATGCGTACTCTTTTCGTAAATACCAAATCCACCATTCATAGTAATAAATGTGCGTATGTATTCCAAAGAAGTATTAAACCGAGGCGGCCATATGGCATTGATTGCCTCAGCATCTTCTGCCTTAACTGCATCCATATAGTAATCGTTGTGATCAAATCTACAGCAGATATTTGTTAAAATAAGTAGGTACTAATAATTTAATATCACAATATTTACGTATCAGATAGTTGAAGGGCTGCATTTTGCGGAAGTTGCCACAAATAAGTTTCATCAGATAACTTTATGGGCACATTTATATCGCTCAATGCTTGTAGAATAATTGGTTTCAATTTTTCATACATTGCATAGAAGATAATTTCATAATCGTACCAATTAATTTGTTTTGTTTGTGTTAGTCCTATGCGTAGTTTTTCATAAGAATCTTGTAGAGAATGCATGAATATATCATAGCATGAAAACTAAAACATATTGAGTTTGTATTTTGTTCAATAATTTAATATTTATTTTCACATTAACTCCGTGTAGTGTTACGATATAATTTCCTACTCCCATTTCACTAGTCACATTACAAACTGTTGCGCAGAGTGAATTTTAATAAGAATAGAGAGTTTATTATTTAAACGCCAATAACAATCCAGTGTTTGATATTACATAGAACAGAACTACCCTTGACAAAGTAACGAACTTAACTAACTACTAGCACATGGTGGCTGGAAAGCCACTCAGCCACTTGGGGTGGGATGCGCAACGTCACTAGAGAAAGAGCGCAAAACTCAACACAAACAAAAAGACAAATATAGCAGTACTCAAACATAACTACTGCAAATCTTTAATATCAAATAATTCATAGAAATATTCAAACACAAAGATACCCATGATCTTTTAAACAGGGACAAATTCACAGCTATTTTGAAAATACCGCTGAAAGCACTTACACACAATATTTAGATAAGAATTAGAATAAATAAAAACCCAGAAATGAAAATATGAAATGAAATAATATCGTAACACAACATAGGTTTAATGTGGAAATATATAAAAAATTAAGTTTTAGGTTAAAATTTAACTTTAATTTAGATATTGACTTATAACTTTTTGCTTGTTACTGATGAGTAATGTATTGTAGTATTTATAAACAACTTACAGTTAATAGTGCTATAAATGTGCCGTCATTTCTCCAGTCACCTTGAACCGAAAACACAGTGATATATTCAGGATGCGTTTTGTGCCATTTTAAAGTTGTCTTTAGAAAACTGTAGACTTGTGGAAACTGGTCTTTGTGTACGTTGTAGAAGTCTTTTAGTTCAATAATTTCGGGCGTGTTTAGTTTGATTAAAATGTCTTCGTTGGGCACCATCTTGATATTAACGTTACAATATTGCATAAAGAGTTTAATAATATGATTTAATGACTGTAAACGAAATAAAGTAAGTGAAATTGTGGAATTGAATTAAATAATTACTACAACTTATCACACCGTCACATGTTTTGTTTCAATGCATCGATTAAAAGCTGGTGGGAGTAATACACTCCTACTTGTGATGTGTACAAGTGCACATGACGTAAATATGAAGTACCTAGATAAACTCAAACACTTGTAAGATATATACCGGTATATCATATTACATAATAATTTTAAATATTAATTTAATATATGAGGATTAATTGTAATATGAGGAAATGACACCTTATACACATTTGTGTCATAGACAGGGGACGTTGCAGAATGCGACCCGAACCGAAGACCCAAAGACAGAAAAGAGAGCAAGCTAGAAACCTGCTACTGCTTTGTTGAACGACTCAGGCACGACTTAGCACTGGTCACTGAGTGCCTAGTGACCGTTTATACCCGCGGGGCAACCAGTAAAATGAAGTGGGGAGAGGTACACTTGTACATGATTGCTGGTGCAGGTAAGTACAAGTTGATTAAACCTGGAAAACTGGCATTGATAGAGGAGTATGAGTCATGATCTGCGTTACTCTAACCAAAAGGTGATAAGTCGTGGGATCCAAAAAGTAGGCATTGTTGATTGGAACAGATTGGTGGTAGTAATATTTGATTCTTAATTGATTTTATTAACAAATATTAAATATTATACTTAAACAGTATCGGCATTAAGCGCACGAATAGTAAGTTCGTTAACTTGTACTCTATGAGGTACACCCAAAACATACAACACACCATCAGCAATATCCTGACTTTCCAATGCAGGCGCTTCAGTAAAGAACTTATTCATTTCCTCAGTCATTTCAGCCATATTGATGATTTCAGTTCGGACAAATCCAGGACTAATACTGGTGACCTTAATGTTAGTTTTTTGCGCAACCATTTCCTGCCTTAAAATCTCGGTAAGATTAGTGACTGCGTGTTTTGAAGCACCATACACTCCAATAGTTGGGAAATATTGGTGGTAATGCCCCGCAATACTATTGATGTGAATAATGTGTCCTTCAGTTTTGTTCGCTTTCATAATTTTGGAAGCTTCCCTGGTGGCAATGCACAGACCAAGCACATTGGTCTCCAGAATCATACGCCAATCTTCTGTTGCACCTTCAGTAAGGTTAGATTTAGAAACAACTCCGGCGTTGTTTACAAGTACTTGGATGTTTCCGACGTTCTTGGTGGTCCATTCGAAGGCCTTGACAATGTCACTCTCAACACGCATGTCGCATTGCAGCGCATGGAGTTTACCTTTGGCACCTTCCTTGGCAAGTTTTTGAGCGAGGGTCTGCACACGTTCAACACGACGAGCCAAACCAACAACCTATATTGAAAAAAATATAAGAAAACAAAGTTAGCAGCTGTTTATAAGTAGGTTCCTATAAAATCTATAGAAGTTGTTATTTTCTTACCAACATGCCAGCTTTGGTCAGACTATCAACGATAGCCTCACCGATTCCTGCGCTTGCGCCGGTCACCACAGCAACTTTACCTACGTAGCGTTCCATGGTTGAATTGTGTGTAGAAAAGACTAACTAGTGAAAGTAGCTGTTAGCTGATATTTATATTGGTTATATTGATATGATCTAATCAGTTTACCTGCAATTAACTCTACTATCAGTGTGTCGTACTCATGACTTGCAAACTAATTGCGCAATTGCACGTAACTCGTGTGTGGAAAGTTTTTTCGAACCGGATAAAATGCAAATTTATTAATAAGTTTTGTTTTTGCATTTTTTTATCAATTGTATAAATTTTATGTTTTTTCTAGGCTTACCTTTTCTCAATCAATACTTTAATTGGTATATTGGTGGTAGGTACCATTCAGAAGACGTCTGATAACGAGGTTAAAAAATATTGGAGTTTTCCGATGTTAATAAACAAGAATTGTGTAATTATTAATTGTAAGTAAATACTACAATGTATGTAATTAGATTATAATCAATATCAGGTATAATATACTTTCGTAATTTCAAGAGTGATAATCCAGTTTATTAATCAACATACTAGAAAATGTAGGTACTTCAATTACCTAATTAGATTTATGTGCACGTATTGTCAGTTCATTGATTTGAACTCTTTGAGGTACACCCAAGACATAAATCACAGCATCAGCAATATCTTGGCTCTCCAAATATGCCAAACTAGCAAACATTTTCTTGATTTCTTCGCTCAAATTTGCCACGTCAATGATTTCAGTCTTAACCATACCCGGACTGATGCTGGTAATTTTAATATTTGTTTTCTGTGTAACCATCTCTTGTCTAAAGATTTCTGTTAGGTTAGTAACAGCGTGTTTAGATGCTCCGTATACTCCAATAGTAGGGAAGAACACGTGGGATTGTCCAGCAATACTATTGATGTGAATAACATGTCCTTCGATTTTGTTTGCCTTCAAGATCTTTGTAGCTTCTCGGGTCGCAATGCACAGACCAAGTACATTGGTTTCAAGAATCTTACGCCAATCTTCCGTCTCACCTTCAGATAGGTTCGATTTCGAGGCAACACCAGCGTTGTTTACTAGGACCTGGATGTTACCAACGTTTTTGGTTGTCCATTCAAAAGCTTTTACAATGTCTTCTTCAACGCGCATGTCACACTTAACAGCATATAATTTTCCTTTGGCACCTTCTTTTGAAAGTTTCTCGGAGAGAGTTTGAATACGTTCGACACGACGTGCCAAACCCACAACCTGAATAACAGGCAGTTTAGTATATAAGTATATAATAAATATAAATACAATTCATACCTTCATGCCAGCTTTAGTCAAACTATCAACGATAGCTTCACCGATTCCAGCGCTAGCGCCGGTTACAACCGCAACTTTACCAACGTAACGATCCATGGTTCTGAAAGTACTAACTAGTCGAAGTACCACTACTTAAATACATATCTGTTTACTTTTATGTGGAATTTAGGAAAAAATGAGGTTTAATCGGTTTTATCTGCAGTTAACAGATAATTTCTAAGTGTAGACTGCTGTATTGGCTTAACAATTACATAAACCTCAGTAACAGAACACGACGTCGTTTATATGTGTATATTATTTATGCTATTTATAGTTTTAGTATTGTAAAGAGCTATTCAGTTACAATACACGATGACATTAATCTGAAATATTTAAACAAACCTGATTTTATAGTAGGTATTTATAGTATAGTATATAACTAAATAATAAGTTTATACAGCGGGAGTTTAGTTATATTGAAAATATTTAAATAATTAATAGAACTCTTTTACTTCTATCTAAGCGCCTGTTTTCCATGATTTTTAGACGCAAGAAGTAATACTTTAAATACGGACGGCCAAACAGATCATATAAAAAGCCATGTGCCGCCAGTCAAACAAGTCAAAGCAGTAGTGTGCGAACGAATTTTGAAGATTTAAAATACAAAAACTAAACGTGGAAATAGAGTAGAAGTAGAAAAATAGCGTAAGCATTACGTGACTAAACGTTGATAAGCAAAGAGACTGAAACTCCCGTTTAGCCACTTGATACTCGTACATAAAATATTATAATGAATCTGTAGGTTGTAGATCAAATGACTAGCAAAAATATTATGCAATTGCCCACAAACAAGATGACAAAATCTTGTCTTAATTAAACATTGTTACGATTAGAGTCCCAAATATATAAATATCTTGAATGTGATCCTACAATCAATACAAGTAAGTTTCATTATCTTTTCCTTTACTTAAATTTTATAATGTGCATTTAAATCGAATTATATAACCAAAAAAAAGCCATTCCACTCTACCCAATAAATTTATCATTAGAACCAATTCTAATTATCACTAAATATTTGTAAAATCATGTCAATAATTAAATTCTATATCAAAAACAATGATACTGCAGAATTAAACTCATTCACTTAATGTTTAATAAACTTTTATTACGAAATAGTTGATAACATTGAAAATGATAGACATAAGTATTTATTGATGTGATAATAGATATAAATATTTACATTTGTGAATTCATTGGTCGAATAGTAAGTTCATTAATTTGAACTCTTTGAGGTACACCCAAAACATACAGCACACTATCAGCAATATCCTGACTCTCCAAAATTGGTGCATTAGCCAACATCTTCTTCATTTCTTCATTCATACCTTCAAAGTCAATAATTTCGGTCTTAACCAATCCGGGGCTAATACTGGTGACCTTAATGTTTGTTTTTTGTGCAACCATCTCTTGTCTTAAAATCTCAGTGAGATTAGTAACGGCATGTTTGGAAGCACCGTACACACCAGCAGAAGGGAAATACAAATGACTTTGGCCAGCAATACTGTTAATGTGAATAATGTGTCCTTCAATTTTGTTTGCCTTCATAATTTTGGAAGCTTCTCTGGTAGCAATGCACAGGCCAAGTACATTGGTTTCCATAATCTTACGCCAATCTTCGGTGATTCCTTCAGTAAGATTAGACTTGGTAGCAACGCCTGCGTTGTTTACGAGAACTTGTACATTTCCGACATTCTTGGTTGTCCATTCGAAAGCTTTGACGATGTCATCTTCAACGCGCATGTCACACTTAACAGCGTACAGTTTACCTTTAGCACCATCTTTGGCGAGTTTATCGGAAAGTGTTTGAACCCGTTCGACACGACGAGCCAAACCCACAACCTGTTATGGAAAGTATTAATTACTCACAGTGCAATCAAATAGGGTAATTCCGCAACCGTTTATTTACAATGTAAATATATAAAAAATATGCAAAGACAAGTATACTAAATGATAATTATATTCATACCTTCATGCCTGCTTTGGTTAAACTATCGGCGATAGCTTCACCAATACCAGAACTTGCGCCGGTTACAATAGCAACTTTGCCTACGTAACGTTCCATGATAAATGTTAGAAATGTTTTGCGTCCGTCTGTACCGAATAGCAACACCGTACTAACTGACTGGAATGGAGTGGCAACTCACTTATATAAACCGTTTAAAATACAAAAATTGTTTGTAATCAGGTGTTCAGATATTACGACAGCTAAGTTTGTTTATGTTATATTATAGATGAGTCATTTTTAACATACAAGGCTACGTTTTTTGAATGTCATGCTTGGTTTTAATTCTACGTTTTGAGACTAGTTATTTCATTAAAATATTTTTCTGGATGGTGGCATTGATTTAAACACTTTGTATATTTAATTATTACTTGCACAAAGAACAATTGAACTCTTCCGGTGGCCTTCATCAGATGTGTAGAAAATGCGTATTTTTATTTAGTAGTTAAAACGGACATTGCCGCAAGTTGAGTAAAAATGAAATGATAGTAAAATATATTTTTACTTTATGTTGTTAACTCATTCACTTGTCTTATGTTTAAATGCGCGTGGCGTATTATTTACTGCATATAGTTGTAGTTTTATTTCTACAACAATACGGAATCACAATGGAATCATTTAATACAAAATCATCAATTTTTACTAGCGACCACTCTATAACCGTCCAACTTCTCCCTTCCACACCTACGGCTCTCATGGGTATCTTTACTTTTTAGTTAATTTATAAGTACATAAATATTTTTGATAATAACTTTGTAGGTTTTTTTTTCTACTTCCACCTATAAAGCGCTAGTTTTTCCACGGTTTTTAGACACAACAAGTGGTACTTTATATACGGATGGCCAAGCCGTACAAAATATTCATTGCGTACTTGCTTTATGCACGGGACGGAGCAAGCGCCTGCGCATTTGCCTTCGGAGCAGCACTAGGCAGTATGAAATGCCATGGGCCGTATACTATAATAAAATGGAAATTTTCCCCAGAGCCCTTGGTTATCTTGCTAGGCCCCTATTTCTGACCTAAAAGTTATACTCTTTTTCTAAGTTAGGCAACCCAACAAACAACTAGCTTGATTATCACATTATTATATTATTAAGAATTCGTTTTCTAAAATTTATCATTCTTGTGCAATCCATACCATAATACATTTTACATAATTCAATAAACAACTTTTCGTTTTTTTATCACCCACTCATATAAGATAAGATTATATTTGCACAGCGTGATTCGGTAAAGTTGAAACAATATTTGCTAGACATTCAAATAATTTTTATTAATAATCGTCAATAATAAAAGAACTCGTTACATCACATTAATAATATTATTAAGATAGGAATGAATTTAACTTTCAATAAATTTTTATAAACATTAATTGTATGTTTAATTTAGATTGGTGAATTCATTGGTCGAATAGTAAGTTCATTGATTTGAACTCGATGAGGTACGCCCAAAATATACAGCACACCATCAGCAATATCTTGGCTCTCAAGCATTGGCATATTACCAAACATCTTCTTCATTTCTTCATCCATGCTATCAATATCAATAATCTCAGTTTTAACGGTTCCAGGACTAATACTGGTAACTTTAATATTGGTTTTCTGTGCAACCATTTCTTGCCTTAAAATCTCAGTAAGATTGGTGACAGCATGTTTGGAAGCACCGTATACGCCAGCAGTAGGGAAGTACACGTGACTTTGGCCAGCAATGCTGTTGATATGAATAATGTGTCCTTCAATTTTGTTTGCCTTCATGATTTTTGTGGCTTCCCTGGTTGCAATGCACAGACCAAGTACATTGGTTTCCATAATCTTTCGCCAGTCTTCAGTGATACCTTCACTAAGGTTGGACTTGGTAGCAATGCCTGCGTTGTTTACGAGTACATGTACATTTCCGACATTCTTGGTTGCCCATTCGAAAGCCTTTACAACGTCACTTTCAACGCGCATGTCGCATTTAACTGCGTGGAGTTTTCCTTTAGCATTTTCTTTGGATAGTTTTTGAGCGAGGGTTTCAATACGATCAACACGACGGGCCAAACCAACAACCTGTGTGAATTCAACAAATAAAATATAGTTAATAAAGATAGTTAATATAGAATAATGTTAAATACAAAAATTATATTATAATAATATCATAGATACAAGTGTGAGGTTGAGTGTTTGTTTGTGACGCTTTCACGTACAAAAACAACTGAACTAAATTAGACAAATTTTGATATAGAAATATATTTGAGCAAAGAAAGGCAAGTAGGCAACTTTTTATTGCAAATATATAAATTAAAGTATATAAAATATAGGATGAACGTTGGAATGAACATTCATTCATTCAATGTTATAGTTATGTAATTCAAATAAAAATGGCACTAAAATCAATTATATGATTTTCTTTTATTTTAATTTAAAATTGAGATTCTTGTTGTGGATACGTAATTAATAAGCTATTGTTTATTGAAACCTACTCAGCTGAAGTCGTATGTACGATTTAAAAATTTTATAATTTAATTGAAACTTACCAACATTCCAGACCTGGCCAAATTATCAGCGATAGCTTCACCAATTCCAGAACTCGCGCCGGTCACAATTGCGACTTTACCAACGTAACGATCCATTGTTCACGATATTTTAAAGACCTTTACTCGTCAGATGCCAATAACGAACTAACAAGCCGAAAACACAACGACAACCTTTTATACATTAGGTGAAAAAAAAAATTTCAATCAAGTTTTCGGGCAATTAGCAGATAATAAATAAGTGTTGTAGCAGAATGACTTGCGAAACGCATACTCATCTCATCATTTTTGATTAATCATGATTTTATTGATCATCAACTACAACAGATCTACTAGAATTGTCTAGAACTAGTGTTTTAGAAACCAAATAAAACATAAAATAGTGTTAAATACTTCTCAAGTCGTTAATTTAACTTTGTTTTTAATTGCATGGCGTTAAAATAAAATAAAATCAGTTTAAATGTTTATTTATAGCATGAAGGTTATTACAATTTGTGGTACTCTATATGTTGTGATTTATCTGGTGGGTTTTTTGATTATTTCACTAGCTTGTTAAAAGTAACCTTGAATCAAAAGTAATCATGCTGAAGTGTTTACTATATCACGAGCACATAAAATTAATGTATCTACCCACATTCATACCAACATCAACTTCAATATCATCGCTTGCCGACTTTATTTAAAAGTGTTTTCGGATAAAAAAAAAACAATTTTATTTTATTTCATTGACGGCAAGTTTGATTTTGTGTTATAGATAGGTATATTTCTAGTCATGGTACATGTGAGTTAAGTACTGATAATATATTATATTTATTCTAGAAGTGTTGTGTTATCGACTGTTTGACTTTTAATCAGCATGAAGTGCATGCACATAACCAAATTGGCAGTCTACGGTGTTGGCCGTCGTCATAGCACTGCTAACATGTTGACAATAGCAGGTATACTAGTAAATAAAACAACAAATCAATATTCTATTTATCTCAAAGATAAACCGGGTTATTCACCAACGAGACTTGCATAATTATAAACGCAATCAAAATATGTCATATTATTCATACCAACACTGTTTCTGGTCATTCCAACTTGTGTATTTCAATCATTGGAGTAGGTATATTGTGATATTGGTGATCTAAGGACAAGAGATGGTTGCCCAGAAGAGCAATATTAGTCACTAGTACCGGATCGGGACCTGTTAAAATTGAAATCATAGATATTGAAAGTGTACCTAACTAAAAAAATAAAACTTTTATAACTATTTTTAGAAATACATTAGAATCTTGATAACTCGAATGTCAAGGGAAACCAAAAAAAATTCGAGATAGCAAGTTTTCGACTTAACAAGAATTTCGAGATATGAAGAGGTAACTCATCAAATTTCGACATAAAAAGGCACAATTTCATAGAACATTTATTACGACAAATTACATTAGGTAACATAAAATGAGAGTCAAGTACATAATTATAATGAATGAACTTACACTGTATGTTTTAAATAATTGATAAAAATCTGTGATCTTCGTTTGATTCAAGCCATTTACAGATTTTTTATCAATTATTTTTTCTATTTCATATAGTGAACCGAATATATGATACTCGATATCATTACATCTTTCAATGTAAGTTCGTAGTGTATCAATTGCTGTATTGTACTCATGTTGTTGCTTGTTAACAGCCAAACAAATATGTACTGACTGAGCCAAGTAACCAAAAGTGACCAAAAATGAAGAAACATAACATCTGTGTTTCTTAGAAATTAGAAAGTTTATTGAATGAATTCATTCCTTGCACGTGTGCAAAACAAAAACAATAGATAAGAGGCCCCGAGCCCCGAACATTCCTTTTCGATTTTATTGCCACGAGTTTTAAGCTCCGGGAATCCCGAGTTTTGAGCTCCGGGAATCTCGAGTAAGAAATCATAAAATTTTATGAACTTCGACTTACTGAGTTAGTATTTGCAGTTCGAGTTACTGAGTATTAAAATGTACGAGTAATGCCTCACAGGGAAAGAACTTATTGTTCGAGTTACTGAGTCTAAAAAATTCGAGTTAGTGCGTCGTTCGGGGTTCAGCGGAAGGGAATAGCATATCTTTTCGAGTTACTGAGGATTACGACTTAACAAGGTTCGAGTTATCAAGATTCTACTGTATTTGATAACAAATTATTAAAATACTCGTACTACTTATAGCTCCTGGCTGTGCCTCCGTCCCCGGAAACCTAAATAAAAATAAACCTATTTAATTCCTTTCTTCTTTTGTGTACCTATTATTTATCAATTCCACTAAGAACATTGTCGAATTTGTTTTAGAAAAAAGAGAAAAGCTAATAATGCATTTTTGTGATATCTCCGTTTGAATTAAATACAAATAACTAGGCTTGAGTCTATATAACTTTTTTCTCATATTTTAAACCTTGCAATTTACATTTTTGCAAGAAATAAACAAACTATCATTTGCATTTATACTATTACTTAATAACACAATTATATCTGTATTAGTATTAATGAAATAAGTGGATTTAAATATTTCACGTTATTATTTCTCTCTACTTGCACGAAACAAATCATGTTTGCCGCCGAAGGACACATCATTTAAAATTAAAATTTACAATATCACGCTAGTCTCATATGTACAAAGTGTTTAAACTCAAACAAAAATGTTTTCTCCACATATTTCTATATTTATTAATTTCAAGTGTCGCCATATATGTATGAAACTGATTAAATCCACATGCACGAATATTTCGAGTGCTCGACGATCAGTATCGTATGAACGTTTGAACTGAACACACATTTTAAACATTTTAAATAAAATCATGGATCGCTGGGTTGGTAAAGTAGCAATTGTGACGGGCGCTAGTTCTGGAATTGGTGAAGCCATCGCTAATAGTCTAACCAAAGCTGGAATGCTGGCAAGTATATTAAAAATATCACAATAAAACAATAATGACAATCTCAATATATGATTATTACAGGTTGTAGGTTTGGCACGTCGTGTTGAACGTATCCAAAGTCTCTCTGAAAAACTATCAAAAGATGGTGCTAAAGGTAAACTTCACGCAGTGAAGTGTGACATGCGTGTTGAAAGTGACATCTTAAAAGCATTTGAATGGACCACAAATAACGTTGGAAACGTCCATGTTCTTGTGAACAACGCGGGAGTAGTTTCCAAGTCAAATCTCTCCGAAGGTGAGACGGAAGACTGGCGTATGATCTTGGAAACCAACATTCTTGGTCTTTGCATTGCCACCCGAGAAGCCTGCAAGATAATGAAAGCAAACAAAATTGAAGGACATATCATTCACATCAATAGTATTGCTGGTCAATCGCACATCTTCTTTCCTACTGTTGGAGTATACGGAGCATCTAAACATGCAGTTACTAACATTACAGAAATATTCCGGCAAGAAATGGTTGCGCAGAAAACAAATATTAAAGTTACCAGCATCAGTCCAGGACCAGTCAAAACCGAAATATTTGAAATGGATTATTTGAGTGAGGAAATGAAGAAGATGTTTGCCAATATGCCAATGTTAGAGAGCTCCGATCTTGCTGAAGCAGTTCTCTACGTTTTAGGTGTACCACATCGTGTACAAATTAATGAGATTACAATGCGTCCACTTAATTGCGACCATTAAAATTGTATAATAATTAATAATGTGTTATTGAATAGATTTATTGATTGATAAAATGTTTTGATAACAATAAAGCTAAAAGTTGTATAAACAAGTCTCCAGACTACCTAATTTTAGGCTGAAACCCAAATTACTAATAATTGGTCTATGATTGTTTAAAAAGTTATAATTTAAATGCGCCAAACATTTTGTTAGCTATAAAGGAGTTAAGTTAACCATTTCAACACTCAATTCAATTCAAAATGTTGACAACACAAGCAGTTGTCTCCTCATTTTGGAACATAACCTTACTCTACAACTATCTTATAAAATACGGTGTATTCTCAGCTGGTCAACATGTAGTTCATGTTACTGATGTTTTAACCTACATTCCCCCCGACACTACAAACACAATTATTTCGTTTGAAAGTGCAAATTTTAGGGCAGTCGATGGTTATAAATGGAGTAGTAATATAATGATTACTACAGACGAACAAACGCGTGATTCTTTTGAGTATTTTGATAAGTTTGTCTCAAGATTTGGACATCAAGATTTGTCTGCAAGACATTTCGTAATTTACTTCAAATTAAATCAATATGATCAATTCATTGATTTTTTCAACAGTAAAAATTTAAAATGGTTATTTAATGTGATTATCATTTACGAGGAATTAAATGGATATCATGTATATGTGTCTGATTATCAGAATAGAAAGAATATCCCTACATTGGTTACAATTTGGCATTTTAATGAGAGTATGATTAGTAAGAATGTGAGTTTAAAACGAACAGTTAGAGATATAAAAAACATTTATGTTGGGGTACGTAAAAATTCAGGTAATTATTTTAAAATTTATCTGTTTATTGGAATGTATCTGTGTTTTAAAGTAGGAATTTTGGAAGACCCTGTAGAAGAAAAATTCATAAGCTATTATACAACTAAGTATAATCTTAGTCTTTACACACTTGATATACAAATCTTGAAGACTGCGACTCGCGTCGTTGACTTTATTGAATTGATTGATTCGCATGATTTGGATATGATTGCAGGTTAATATAAATACATAATTGATTTATGAGATGAATATGATGAAGAATTTTAGTTTATTTATTTTATTTTATAATTTGCAGGCAATTTGTTTGTTTTGCCTGAAAGATCAGCGCGAGGTTTGTATACATCACCAACTTCAATAATAAAGACAGTAGTTTTAGTCCCAACTCCAAAGTAAGTATGATCAAGCTGTATTTATACCTATAGCTTAAATAATATTGGAAATTATTTTAGAGTAATAACACCCTGGTTGTTTGTACATGTATTTGAACCAACTGCGTGGATATTATTTGTTTTGATGGTATTTCTAAGTTGGCTTATCTTAAATTTGCCTTGGTGAGTTAAATTTAATTGCATGTAAGGTGGCAAGTGGCAGTGGCAAGTTGTTTAAATTTGCGCCGGAAACTTAGAATTATGTTCCCCAACCTTATAACCACATGTTGACGTGCACCTTTTACCACTTTTTATGAATAATTTCCATGTTCAATGCGATGTATGCGGCAACCAGCGCCTTCAACAGGCCTCGGTGGCGCAGTAGGCAGCGCGTAAGTCTCATAATCTTAAGGTCGTGAGTTCGATCCTCACCCGGGGCAATTGTTTTTGCTTAGTAAAGAACCCTAAAAGCTGATGTGTTTTATCCCGCCTAGTGCACTCTGATCGCAATGATCCACTGCAGCCCTACAGAATATCAAGGCTTTGGGACGCGCTATCAAATATAACATGTATCACGTCATATATTTTCAGCTTGCTACTCAAAAATGTTCCTCAACATCAACCAAGATACATAAACGCTTTACTAGTCATGCAAATGTGGTGCAGCAATTCTGTACATCAAGAACATTATTTTAATGGCATCCGCATGTACCTACATTGGATTTCTCTTAATGTATATTCTAATTGTAACTTCAATCTTCACAACGAAACTAACTTCATTAATTTCAAAGCCCATGTTAGTACCTACATCTCACCATCTAATTAAATATTTATTTCTCATGCTGATTCTTACTTATCCGTAGATATTCAGATGAAATTAAAACGATGAATCAGCTTGCCCAAAGCAATTTGGATATTTTATACAGTTCGTACTACATTATGCCATCTTTACAAAAAATGTATCGTGCAGAACCATACAAAACTTTATTTGAAAAGGTACGAGGGAGTTCTGTCCAAGAAGTTGAAGATATGATTAAGAATAACGTTCGTTTTGCTGTCGCTGTTGACATGAATACAGGAACAGGTAAAATTTACAATGATTCATGAATTTACACCAAAAACTTTATTAATTGTTGTTATTCTAGGGTACTACGATATTCCGTATAACCTTGATCCAAAATATTTAACCGAAAACTATAAAATAGTCGACGGCGTTTTAATGAATCTCACAGCGGCCTTTTATTTAATGAAAAATGCTGTACTCTACGATAGCATTAACAACGAATGGGGTATGATTGGTGAATATGGTTTAGCAAAATTTTGGGAGCTAGATCTGCGATTTAGGCGTAACTTGTATTTTGTTGACGAGTCAAGAATGCGTTTAAATTATGGACAAATTCACAACATGTACTCTCAGTTTCTAGTGGTTATAACTGGTTGGTGTATTTCTATCGTTGTATTTTTATATGAAATTTCAACCAAAAGAGTAAAATTAGTTGTGGCTTGTGTAAAACTAAAATAAATAACAATTTGAGAGCGGGTGTCGAAGTAGCGGCACTCACCAAAACCGTTTTTGTTTCGCATTCCGAAAGCAATGTAATTATTTAAAACCACTATGCGCATATGATTATGAATTAATTTTTCTGTATTACTCGTAGATTATGTATACTATTGCTGGGCGTGTAGTACATTCATTCTAAAACTAAATATGGCACTAGATTATGGATGGGTGCATTGTTCCACCAAATTACAAAGTTTGTGTGGTTTCGGGGATTAACACTATTACTGCCGTAAAAAATAATATCATATTTGTACATTATGATTTGGCATAGTCGTAACAATATTTGATAGATTCTAATAACTTTTATTAAAAAATATAATTACTTGTTACATCACATTAATAATATTATTAAAATAGGAGTGAATTTGATTTTCAATAAATTTATATAAGTACTTGTTAATGTTGTTAATCCTATTAATTTAGATTAATTAAAAGCTAAGTTAATTAATTTGAACTCAATGAGGTAAATCATTTCTTCATTTATCCCACCGATATCAATAATATTAGTTTCAACTGCTCCTGGACTAATACTGATAACTTTTAAATTGGTTTTCTGCTCAAACATTTCTTGCATTAAAATCCCAGTAAGATTGGTGACAACACGTTTGGAAGCACCGTACACACCAGCAGTAGGGAAATACACGTGACTTTGGTCAATCATGGTGTTAAACAAAAATCACTGTTTTTCACTATGATTAGAGTTAAGAACTTTTCTCACGGGCATTCTCTACGGAGCGGAGCTTGCATCAGGCACCTATAAAGCGCCAGTTTTTCCACGGTTTTAGACACAAAAGTGAAACTTTATATGCGGACAGCCAATCCGTGAGTAATATCCGTTATCTATGGGCATTATCTACGAGATAGAGCTTGCGCCTGCGCATTTGCCTACGGAGCAGCACAAGACCGTATGAAATGTCATGCGACGTCAGTCATGACCAGTGCGCAGAATTGTATTTGTAACCTTACATTTTGTAGTAATGTGCAAGCAAATTTCGATTATTTAAAATACAAAAGTTGAAATACATGAACCTCCACGTTAAACTAGAGTGGAATAAGAAAAATAGTATAAACATCACGTGGCTAAACGTAAACGAGTAAAGCCCTGTTTAATTTTATTTAAATTTAATTAAGAATGCAAAAACAAAATTGAAAGACCCATTGTCAACATCATCTTCTTCCCTTCTGTTGCAGAAATCTTCAAACAAGAAATGGTTCCACAGAAAACCAATATTAATGTTACCAGATTCAGTCCAAAGCCTGTCAAAATTGAAATCATTGAAATAGACTATTTGAGTGAAGAAATTAAGAATATGCCAATATGCCAATGCTAGAGAGACTGCAGCAATTATTTACGTTTTAGGTGTACCAATGTAGTAAGATTACATTAGTTGTTACTTTTATAAAATAATTAATAATATGCTATTAAATAGATTTATTGATTGATAAAATATTTTAATAACAATAAAAGTAAAAATTGTATAAACAAGTCTCTAGACTCTAGACTATCTAATTTCAACCCAAAATACTAATAATTGGACCATGATTGTTTAAACACATATAATTTAAATGCACCAAACATTTTGTTAGCTATAAAAGAGTTAAGTCAATCGTTCCCACACCCAATTCAATTCAAAATGCTGACAACACAAGCAGTTGTCTCCTCATTTTGGAACATAACCTTAATCTACAACTATCTTATAAAATACGGTGTATTCTCAGCTGGTCAACATGTAGTTCATGCTACGTATATTCTAAACTACATTCCCCGACACAATAAACACAATTGTTTCGTTCAATGGTGCAAATTTGTTTACAACAAATGGTAATAAATGGAGTAATAAAATAATTATCACAACAGGCAATGAAACGCGTTACTTTTTGAATATATGAAGAAGAAATGAAATGTCTTCAAGAGCATTTGTCATTTATTATAAATTAAATCAAAATGATCAGTTTTTGAATTTTTCAACAATAAAAATTTAAGATGGTTATATAATGTGATTATTATTATCGAGGAATTAAATGGTTATCATGTATATGTCTCAAATTATCAGAATGCAAGGGGTATTCCTATTTTGGTTACAATTTGGTATTTTAATGAGAGTATGATTAGGAATAATGTGAGTTTAACACGAACAGTTTGGAATACAATATTTTAAAATTCATTATACAATTGCGATATGTTATGAACTAATAATGATTTTATTTAATAATAGAAATCTTAGAAGACCCTGTAGAAGAAAAATTCATTCGTTATTATGCAACTAAATATAATTAGAGTCTATATACAGTTGATATACAAGTGTTGAAGTCTGCGACTCGCGTCGTTGATTTTCCAGAATTGATCGAT